TCTTGGTAATTCTGCGGCTGAGAGTTAACGTGATGGCTCAATTCATGAAAATCACTTCGCAAATACTAATATGATAATCACCATAAGCTCATATACAGATGATCATATGTTCGTAAAAATCACATGAAGCCAATTAAAACGAAGAGACGAGAAATGTATCAAGAGCAGCTTCACATGCTAAACCAAATGGACTGCATATCCATGGAAGTAACAACAAAAGATTTAGCTTACCTCAAATCGCTATCTCAGATAGCATGTTCTCTGGATAGACTAGCCCGACCCCAGACCTTGGAAACAATCGAAGATCTGGCCCAGTTCTTCGACAATGGGAGCTCTGGCACAGAGCAGTAACTAAGAGTTAAATAAGATTTTAATTAAATATGGAACTTAATTCATGGTTTAATCCGGTTCCCTAAAGATTTATCTGAATCACGGATTAAGTACGTCTCTTAATGTTTCAAATGGACAAGGAAAATGCATTTTCCTCCTAAAAAATCCTTCACATCCTCAAATTTTCAATAACATCTTATGGAGTCTTCATGCAAAGTCAGCACCGCATTGGCTGGGGTCGAATTGGTGATAGAAATCAATTTATTGTTTACTTTCCTCGTTACGATTGAAGTTAATACCCGGTTTAATCCGGTTCAGTTAGTTTGAGTTCAATGTTTCTTCTTCCTCCTCCTCATCATCATCATCGCTGTGTTTCCTGGGGAAAAGATTCATTTGCACCTAATTGTGTGTTGGTTGTCGAAAGATGAGAAACTTTCATAGTTCTTATTTGAAATCTGATTTAACTAAGAACTGTGAAATGAAAATTCGAAAAGCGTTCGTCTCTCTCTAGTCTCTACTTGAGGAGGCTACTTATGAACAGATTTTGTAATTGCTAATCCTTACGGACGTTACCCATATTTATGGTTTTGTAGTGTTTCGAAACTTTGAATTAAGCATGTTGTTAACATTACATTTACCACAGAGAAACAAGAAGAAGATGAAAGCCAAATAAAAGAAAAACAAGAAGAAGATGCAAAGGACAAGGCTCAACATTATATAAATTTATAGTTAACGAAAACTCCACAGAAGAGGTTGTGTACATAATAGAGCTTGAATAGCCTAAAGCAAGAAACAAACAAGAAGACTAAAGAACGAAAAAAAGTAGTCACATTTTTCGGTTTATGAATCTAATATCAAACCCATGTAAAAACACAAGAATGCTGCATAATTTTACAGTCCTTCATATCAATATGTCATCATCATCATCCTCAATCCAGCTGAATTCAACTGCAGCTTCTGGCTTTCTAAATCAAAACTTTGTTCCTGAATAGAAGTACCAGATTGTTAGTAGCAATATCTCTGTGAGGATGATCATAAACTCCAGAGTTACTTAAACTAGCAAAAAGATCACCTTCCTTAAGCCTAAACAAGCTTTAACGAAGAGCAGCAAAGCAACTATAATTTATCAACCATGGATTCCCCACCTGAACTCAATCCAAACACAAAATTACACTGAAAGCTTTCAGTCTCTACGAATCATTCAAAGTGCTAACATGTTTCAAATAGTAACAATTAACAAACCATACTAATTCATTTTACTAACTAATTCAAAGTCTGTAAAAGAGACTATCTTAGGCAAACCAAATGATGTATACTGATCATTCTAATACAACCCTCGACTGAAATCAACAACTGAATTTCGAATTCTGATTTTAACGATCCCTACAACAAAGGTGAAGCTATGAATGAAACACAGAGATTGAAAGAAAAGGCACACCTACGTCTGTTTAGAGTAGGAAGATGAGAAAGGGACGCGTTTGTTGCGGAACATCATGTAACCAACGGGTAATACGACGCCGATCATCATCACCGCCGCTCCAATCATGTACCGTAAAATACTCGGAGGCTCCACTTCTATCACCGTCTTAAACTGCGAAAATCCTCAGGACAAGTCTGGATCAGCCAAAATTGGAGCAAGGCAACGAACGAACATAGGGAAACGAAAAGAAGATGAAGAACGTGGAGATTAGCTCGCTGGGATCTAGAATTACACATAGAGCGAGAAACTTACCGGCATTATATCGTCGGAGAAGATGATTTCGCTATTCGCCGCCGGAGACGAACGAAACTTGGTTGTACAAGAGGAGAAGAAGAGATCTAGATTTCTCTCCGGTGAGATTCGTCAGGTGAGTCTATTTTTCTATTTTCTACTGATAATGGGCCTGGCCCAAATTATCTTTGTCTTTAATCAATCTAAACTCCATACTTCAAAATGGTCTAAAGTAATGGGCATAAGGGTACTCGGATTGGTTTCGGGTTGGTTCTTTCGGTTCCGGATTTTACAGATATAATTTTTTTTTATCTATATAGGAATCGTGTCATAGTCGGTTCGGGTCCAGATCGGTTTCTCTCGGGTCCAGGTCGGTTCTGGGTACCCAAACTTTAGCTATTAAAGATAAAAATAAAAATAAATAAAAATAATTTAATTTAAATAAAATTGAGTTAAGTTTTATAAAACACTAGATTAAGACCCGTGTATGTGGGTATATTTTAAGATTTTATTAAAATAATATTGAAAATCCGATAAAAAATATTTTAATAAAATAAGATTGGTAATACTTTTACATTTTTATTGTAATTAATTTTTCTTTTGAATTTATGATATGACAAAATGAATTAATTTGTTTTACTATTATTTTTATCCAATACAGAAAGACTTACACATGTCTAAATCTGATCAACTGATTAATTAATCAAACTTTTATTATTCCATTCAAGAGATTTTAATTACCTAACAAAAATTGAAAATCAAACTATTTAAAATTAGAATATCAATTATAATTTTTTAATATTAGTTAATTGCTTGATAATTATTTTGTTAGTTTTCTATTTATATTTTTTCTTTCTCAATTTTGTTTTTGCCTCAGACCATTATAAATACTATATATTGGTATTTTTCCTTTTCTTAATAGATGTAACAAAGAATTTAAATTATTTTTTCCTTTTTTTTATTACTTTAATGGATGTATTATTTTTTTCATTTTAATTATTTGTTTCCTGTTTTATTTTTATGTATCTTAAGTTGATGTATTGGACTCATTTTCCCAAACTTTATAATATTTGGACAGAGGGAGTATTTTTTTTTCTAATTTTAGTTAGTTTATATATAATAAATTTTTATTATTTTTATTCCATGACACATGTTACGATCTTCATACTTCCAATTTTTTTTTTCTAAAACACATGTCGCAATTTTGTCAGTTATAAAAATCCTATGTATCGCAAAACTTTCAAAAACATGATTTTTAAATTGGAGAAATAGAATCAAAGGGATTTGATGAATTTGCTTTGATGAATTTATGATTGAGAAACCTTGACTCTCTTTTATAGGGGTTCAAGTAACCTATTACATGCAGTTATAGGAAATTTAGTTTACATAACATATTCCATGTACAAATAGGATTTTATTTATTACATTATTTTGATTTTATTATTTGTTTGGATAATATTAATTTGATGAATGGGAAACCTTTCTCTATTAGGATATGACAAATATATTTTTATTTCTTTTAACTGTAATGGATTAATTTTTTTTAAAAAAATTCCTTTATCTAAATTTATTATTATTATTATTTTTTTTTTTCTCTAAGACATGTGTCACGATCTTAACGGACGTAACATTAAAAGTGACACATGTCGCGATCTTATAAATTATAAAAATCTATGTGTCGCAACCACGTCGTGCGCATCCAACTTTATATAATAAAAAAATTTGATGAATGAAAACCTTTTTCTGTTTGGATATGGCAAATATTATTTTTTCCTTTTTGATATAATAGATTAAATTAAATTTCGTTTTTTTTAATTAACATTTTTCTGGATTTTTTTTTTTAAGTTCTCTTTTTTTTCTAAGACACGTGTCACGATCTTAACGGACATAAACTTAAAAGTGACACATGTCGCGATCCTGAATTTTATAAAAATATACGTGTCGCAACCACATTGCGCGCATCCAGCTTTATATAATAAGATATTAAATATTACAAAATATATTCTGATATATTATATTTTGGTTATTTTGTGCTAAATAATTGTAATTTTAAATATTTTAGTTATTTTAAGACTAATCATAACTAAACATTTTTGGGAATATAATTATATTTTGGATATTCAGGGTACCCATTCGGTTCTCGGGTCGGTACCAGTTCGAGTCCGGTTCTTACGGGTATAGAAATGTAGTGTGTAGGATCCGTTCGGATATTTATGTATATTCCGATTCGGTTCGGATCCATTTTTTCGGGTCGGTTCCAGATCGGGTCCTTCTGATCGGTTTTTATGCCCAGACCTAGTCTAAAGCACTCCTCGTTCATGACATGTCCGAAAAGTTTTTTTTTTTTTTTTTTTTTTTTTTGGTAAAATATTGTCCGAAAAGTTGTTCCATAGCAGGTTATTTCACAAGATTTACAGATGCATATGCAATTATGAGAGACCTAAATTTTCTACTCACTCCGTTATATACTAGTTGTTATTTTTAGAAATGTATCTGAATTATATATGTATGTATTTTGAGTTAAATATATAGATACATTTCTAAAAACAACAACTAACATAAAAGAGAGAGAGAGAGTATGTGAATATCCGCGGTTTTGGTAGCACATCCACGAACTAAATTTACTTCTATTCAATTAACAACAAATTTATAAAAACATTTGGCTCTTTTGATTGCTTCCATATTTATTTCCATATGCAACATTAATTATAATTCTTTTTGGCTATTTTCTTACTTTTGGTAGGGTTGGTCATTTGTGTGATAGAGATTCATGGACGCAAAAGGCAAAACGAGAAGAATAATAAGATGTTAAGTTTGGTTTCACACGTCTCGGAAACATGTTGGGCTTGTATAATCGTTATCTCTAAAGTGTGGACCGCATACACTTTTGTGTTGATATAAAACTCATTAGAGTCAGAAAACTAACTACGTACAAACGTAAAGAGAGAAAGAGGCTGCGATGGGAGGCGAAGGTGGTGGTGACTCTGGTGACTCCGTAATACATTTTGTGTTTGTTCATGGAGCCAGCCATGGAGCATGGTGTTGGTACAAACTTACCACTCTTCTCGACGCCGCCGGATTCAAATCCACCACCGTCGACCTCACCGGCGCTGGAATCAACCTCACCGACTCTAACACCGTCTTTGACCCCGACCACTATAACTTCCCTCTCTTCTCCCTCTTGTCCGATCTCCCTCCTCACCACAAAGTCATACTCGTTGGACATAGCATGGGCGGAGGAAGTGTCACCGCAGCTCTCTGCAAGTTCCCTGACAAAATCTCCATGGCTGTTTACCTCGCGGCTTACATGGTTCAACCCGGATCCGCCTCTTCTACACATAACTCACCCGTGAGTGCCTATATTTTTACTAACTCAAATCTCTCTGATTTTTTTCTTTTTTAAGATTTAAGGTAATATATAAAAGACATGGACCAAACAAAATCCTTATCAATGTTTTTGAAGATGCATTTGGGAGAAGAGGATATATGGGAGTACATATACGGAGAAGGCGTTAATGAAACTCCAACCGGAGTCATAATGAAAGAGCAGTTTATACGCCATCGTTACTATAGCCAAAGCCCTCTTGAGGTTACTCTCTAATGACTTCATAATTTATGTTTCAATATTATTATGTTATCACTAAACAATGCATGGTTTATCTGAAGGATGTAACTTTGGCATCTAAGCTGTTGCGACCTGCTCCTGTGAGGGCCTTTCTAGGTTTCGATAAGCTGTCAGCAAATCCCGCAGCCGAGAAAATTCCTCGAGTTTGCATCAAAACTGCCAAGGATAATCAGTTTTCTATGCTGCGTCAGGACCGTATGGTGGAGAATTGGCCACCTTCGCAGGTGTATGTGTTGGAGGAGAGTGACCATTCTCCTTTCTTCTCGGTCCCCACTACCTTGTTCATTTATCTCCTCCGTGCTATATCTTTTCTTCAATCATAAGTTAGAAACTTCATTTTTATTTTGACTGTCTCATTTCCAATCTACATTCTCGATGAGACTCAATCAATCTAGTTTGTTGATTCAATGGTAGGAATGATTTTGTGGGATATATTATTGGAAGAGGATTTATTAAATGTTATGAGAATATGGTTTTTATGAAGTGGTTTCTTTTTATGCATTTCATCAAGCCTTACATGTGAAGCAATCAAGGATAAATGTTTCTCAGGCTTTTGATATTGGTTCATTCCAGGATGGGAGAGATATCTCTCTTGTCGGGGAATTTTGTATTCCCTTGATTTGTTTGTCAATAAACTTGTATCACATTTTAATGGGGTAAGTTTACATAGTCATAAACCAAAAATTAACTCTTTTTACCAAACATTAACCCCAAAAAGGAAGAGAAAGCAACCCAACAAAGGTAGACTTCAAATTCAACTACTATTATCAACCTCCCAACCAAACCAATAAACCATCATATTTCCTTAGATCATATTTAATATTAGGTTATAGTAGTAAATCTAAGTAAAGTTATTTTTATCGCTGATATATATAGTGGGTTCGGAAAACCACATTCAAAATTTATGTGTATTTTGTAAGGGAGAAATTGTTTGTGGAATCAGAGGTTACTGATCGCGAGATCAAGTCTTCCCAATTCATCTCCCTGATTCTGCAAGTGCACAAGTCGGAAGTAGTAACAGATAGATTTATAACTTTTCCGCATTCCAGCTGAACTAAATCATGACTTTGAACAGTCATTGGAGATCGACGTTTGCAAACGGGAAGGCGAAAGATCTTTGAGATCTTGCCGTCGAGTGACAGTTTCACCTTGGAAGACAAGGTAATAACTTATTTTTTAGATCGACTGTCAAGATCGAAATTTGATCGAAGAGTTTACTATGATCTTAAGAGTTGAGCTTCTCGAGAGTAGCAAAAACCTTAAGACAAGATTTGCGATTATCAACTCTTTCAGATTGTTTCTCGAGAAGGCTTTTGTTTAACTAACTTAATCATGGTGCGAGCTCCCTTTGAGTTAATTAATTGTTTTTTTTTTTAAGTTTGAACAGTTGTTGATTAAATTCTTTAATCAAACTTGGTCATTTTAAGCCCGGATTGTTCTTTCCGGGCTTGAACTTGGTCATTTACGACTAAGTGAGATTTAGTCGGTTTGTTTAACTGAATTCTCGCATAAGGTTTTCAGCTGACCATGAGATATAGCAGAATAAGACTTTGCTAACTCTTCTGAGAGAGTTGCTTCAAGTTAAACTGATTTCTTTTCGAAATTTTGAGTCAAAATTGGCATGATTTCGACTATATTTTTTATTTCGGTCAACCTAAATAAAACTTAGTCTTTGGTTGAATGTTATTTCAACCAAATGTTCGAGCTTATCGTTGAGCTAAGCTAAACAAAGACTTAGTCAATATCTTTAAAGATTGATTTAAGGTCGAACTAGAATCTATTGAGAATCTAGCTCGATCTTGGGGATGTTCTCGAGTTTTAGCTCAAGAATCTGGCTGAGTGCTTGACTGCCATTCAAATCAGACTAGGTGAGACTTAGTTGATTTCTTAGGATCATAAAAGATCAAGCAAGAATCTGTTTAGAATCGAGTTTGACAGGATGATATATCTCCCGAGCGAACTTCAAATCGAGCTCAATGCTGCGATAGAGAAAGTTTTTCGCTGTAATGACTTGTTTAAGTCATATGTTTTGCTTTCGGATTAATACCTGTAAAGGTTTTCATCCATTTTTAGCAACAAATTTTGTTTGTTACTGTTTTTCGCCGCGTTCCATCTGTTACAGATTTGAGTTCGACTTCGAGTATGCTACCTGTTGGAAAAGAGAAGATTTCTCGTGAGCTAACATTTCGTGAACGACCTGCAAAGTCGGCTGCTACTCGTTGTGAGCAAGCAATCCAATATGGAGCTAATGGAGTTGTGGAGATTGTCCATATTGTGGTCGAATCTACTCTTCTAGCGCCAAAATGTGGGTTCGGAAAACCACACTCAAAATTTATGTGTATTTTGTAGGGAAAAATTGAATGTGGAATCTGAGGTTAGATTCTGATGTAAGTCGAACAAGTATAAACAAGTATTTGACGAAATCGGACTTAGGTTAATCGAATAAAGTGGTTACAAAACCGGCCTAAAAGACCATGTAAAACACTAGGATTCGACTAAGCAAAAGAGATGGAAATAAGGTGGTGGTTGCGCTCGTTAACGAGCTGCCTACGTACCCTGTTTTAGGGATCAAGCCTTAACGTAGTTCGATTATAAGTTGTTCTCTATTTTGGATCGTTTTCTGAAGAGAAATGACACGAAAAGAGCTAAAGGGGTGTGAAGATGACGATGAATCTTAGGTTATCGGAGTGATCCGAAGGTAAAGATTATGTCAAACTTCTGCCGGAAGTGATTTCCGGCTAGAAAGATCAGAGCTTTCTAGGGTTATCTCAAAGATCAAAGATAAGATTATAGATAAAAGAGGATAGAATGTATTCTCAGCGTAAAGAGTAGTTATCAAGAGGTCAAGAACATTCAGTCTCTTAGAGATGTAAAAAGGAACATCATCTTCTCAGGAGATGGAGAAGATAGAACATCATGCCTTGTGATCAAGAATCGTCCTTCTTTTATAGCTCCGAAGTAGATCGCAACCTCCTCCGCGTATCTCGTCCACGTGCAACTACCGATCCCGCTATTTCCGGATCTGAACGTCGAAGCGAGATTCTCGTTTGACTCATTCAAACTCAGCTTACGGACTTGACTCCGTCGAGCTAGAGCTCGACTTCGTCTTCACAAGTAGCTCGGACAGTAAACAGCTGGATTTGGACAAGAATACTTGGTGGGCTCGAGGTCATTTTACTGGGTCTGAGTTGACTTATCTTGACCTTAAGGTTTAGGTGATGGGCCTTATGGGCCGGATTTCTGAAGGGAAATTCAGGTCCAACACCTATATAATATGAAAACATGGATAAAACAGCAGCCAATGAAATATAGGCCTATGATTAATAACCTAAAGCCAAGATAAAAGCAATATAAAATATTTATAAGAAAAGTGTTTTAAGCATTTACCGTCCAAGAGATATAAGTTGACCCGTACAGAAGATCACCCTCAAGAGATCTCGTTATCGAACTAAAACACCTACAGTGAACTAAATATACTGTGCGCCTTGATCTACATAGTTAACTCCGATTCTGACCACATGACGCTTTTGACGAATCTGCAAAAAAAACACAAACGTATAGCCATGATTTTCAGATCAAAGAAAAGAGACCAAAGCGATGCGGACAAAATATAAGAAGTGTGGTAGAAAGCTTAAAGAACACGCCCGTAAAACGTCAAACTGCAAATAACCCTAGCTGCGCAAAGAGGAAACAAACGAAGTCAGAACCGTGTGCAAGCGAAAAGCATCAACGACTGCACAAACCCTAAAATAACATGAGATCATAACTAAAACATATATGGGCGACAACTAAAGCAAGAACAAAAAAAAAAGAGATATAAGTCGACCAGCGCAAAAGATCACCCTCAAGAGGTCTCGTTACCGAACTAAAACACCTATAACGAACTAAATATATTGTGCGCCTTGGTCTACATATTTAAGTCCGATTCTGACCACATGTCTCTTTTGACGAATCTGCAAAAAAAACACAAACGTATAAGGCAGGATTTTCAGATCAAAGAAAAGAGACCAAAGCCATGTGGACGAAATATAAGAAGCGTGGTAGAAAGCTTACAGAACAACACGCCGTAAAACGCCAAACTGCAAATAAACCTAGCTGCGCAAAGAGGAAACAAACAAAGTCAGAATCGTGTGCAAGCGAAAACCATCAACGACTACACAAACCCAAAAATAACATGAGACCATAGCTAAAACATATATGGGCGACAACTAAAGCAAAAACCAAAAAATAAAACTATAAACGATATGGGAGATACCCAAAGTATATATATAGGAAATGTGAGCTAGGGTTTCAGCAATTAATCCGTCCAATTAAAATAATATTAATTATCCGATAAATGCATAGACGAATCTATCATCTCAACCGAATCGAAAACTATACTTTTTATGAATATATCTTTCCCAACCACACATGATTATCTCCTAACTAAGATAAAAGAAAGTTTTGCCTTTCTGATTACATTAATTAGACATATCATTAGCAATGATCCGATAAATGAATAGACGAATTTATCATCTCAACCGAATCGAAAACTATCCTTTTATGAATATATATTTCCCAACCACACATAATTATCTCCTAACCAAGATAAAAAGAAGTTGGGAAGTTTTACTTTTCTGATTACGTTAATTCGTTTTAATTAGCATATTAGAGACGCAATTAGACATGTCATTAGGCGAATTCATTAAAGGCATCTGAGTAATATTGAGTAATATTTAATGAAGACGATTCTGGTGCATTTTTACTTCGCATCTGATAGTATAGATGACATATAAGTGATGAATAATCATATATTATTTATTAGAGTAAACATTACTAACTTATTGCGTGTAACGAGATATGAGATGATATAAGATTTCACGAGCATTATACATTTTTCTTTATATAAAAGTTGGGATATACAGAACATGAACCTTTTCTATAAGACACATTGACATCACGAATGTTTTGTTTGTCAGACATCACTAACCTTACCCTTTCTTGTTTCAATCATCATGGTTTGAAAGAAGGAACGTCATTTTCAGGAAGGTGAGTCAAACTGTAACTCAATCTGTCTAAAACACTTCTGTATGGATCTTCCTCTCGTTTCTTTAACAAGTAGGCTATGCTTTTCTCAACATCCTCTTTCGCCTCCAAGTAAACCCGGTTCGCTGCTTCTTTGTCTTTCAGAAGTTCCGGTCTTCCGTTAGTCTGTATCGGTTTCCCAAACAGGTAATAGAATCGACCAGGGACTTTCGGTAAGAGTCCTGGTACGTAGAGCTGCTGATTTGCGACTTCTCCACTTGATTCTTCCCTAATATCACAATACATCAATTTTTGCAATTAATAACACGTACAGTTATTAGTAAGGCCAACGACTTTTAAACGAACCACAATTTCCAAACCGAACAGAATCGAGAATTTTGTTTTTCTGGTTTTGGTTCTCGGATCCGTTTGGTTCGGCTGGTTACCCATTATTTTATTTTTTTTTCTAAACCAACACATACCAAATTTAAGTCAAAGTTAATCTGAATTTAACCAATTAAACTGCTTTAACATCATTAGGACAAAAAAACGAAAATGTAGTCAATTAAATTACCCTAACTACCCGATACCCAAACCGAACCAGAATTTATTTCGTTTATTTTCAGTAAGATTTTCTTGAACCTAAGTACCCCGACAAACCGAACCACAATACCCGAATAAACCAAACCCAAATTTTCAGCAGCAGGCCTACTTCTTCGTACTGTTTCAACCGCTAAGTTTTATGTTTACATGTGCAAAATGCAAAAAAAAAAGAAAAAAGAAAAAAAAGAAAAAGCAAATTTACCTCAGTTTAAATTGTTGTTTGGCATCGCGAGATACATCCGAGATATAATCATTGAGAATTGGAATCTTCATCAGGTCGTTGTAATCAAGAACCAACTGCAATAGATTTAAATGATTAGCTTCGTTTCATTTACTCTGCATTTTCAAATTGAGGTGTTTTTGCTAAGCTTACTTCAGCTATATCGTCTTCACCAACTGTTCCAAACGGCACTATTGTTGCACCAAACTTTGCTGCCATTCTTACAAACTCTTGCTGGTCAGGCCAAATCAGTTTGTATTGTTCACCCTGTATGGTCGATGAAAATCAGTATATATAATAAGATTTAAACGTGACCACCAACAATCGAGACATTAATAGCCAGCAATAATGAATTTTCAGCACAACTTTAAAAGCCACATGTGAAGATGACTAACCCGGTTATGGAGAGCCTCACGTGCACCGCCAGGGTAGAGAAGAACATGAGCTTTAGAAGCTAACAGCTTGAAAAGATTGGTTGCAGTGACAGGGTAGGCACCAAACACCTTAATCCAGTCTACGTAACCAAAATCCTTCTCTGAGTCATTTTCTGAATACAGAACCGGATGGGCCATTCCACGAAAGAGAATGTTTTTCTCTTTAATAAATGCCTCGGACAGTGGACAAAGTTCCAAGCCCATCAACATGTGGTAACCAACAAGTAGCACCGGACCTTCATCTGGAACACCAGCAAGTCCTTTCACTATTCTCCCGTCTTCCATAGTTGACAGAAACACAGAACTAACAGCATTTCGTAAGAATCTGCTTGTCACAAGAGGAAACTTTCTTAGCATTTAATACGAGGAATGGAGTCAAGAAAGGCTTACTGAAATTACCCGAGCAGTTCCTGAAGGGCGTAATCCAACTCCCCCTGACTCGGAGGCAAGAAATCAGAAACACAATCATATCTCCAGGAGCGCCGGTACTTGCATGTACCTTTTATAACCGTGAGCAAACTGATGCTATCTTCCTGGGACAATGAATATATAGAAAGTAAATGAATAATAATAGTCATCCTCCTCCTCTATGTTTTACCCAATTTGTACAATACTACTTCTTCACCTACTAGGTTGAGGAAAAGGAAATACACTCAAAAGTGCATTTTACTATGTTAAATTACCAGTAAAAGAGTATGCCCATTTTCCTTGAAGATTCGAACTGTACAGTTTTTTAGTACACCATGAAGTCGCTTCGATTCTTCTTGGCTCGGAAGCATCCTGTCTTTTCCACTGAAACACCATAAAATACTAAGTCATTTCTATAACTTCTTGATGATACGTCAATCATTCTAATCTTTAAAAGACCAAGAGACGAGAAATGCAATACAATAAGGAAGATGATTACCTAGCAAGGACCAAGACTTCGGCTTCAACTGCATGGATGCGAGAATTGGCATAAGCAGCACCACATCTCAGCAACTTCAGCTTCCAAAGTAAAGTTTCCCTTGGAATAATTTCACTGAGATCCTGAAAGCATATGGTAAAAAAGGATGACATCTTGTATTTACAACAGGACCAACTAAATGCATTACAAAAAAACACTCACAGAGAGAAGTGGAAGCATAGAATTAGTAAGTTTCTCTCTCAACTTTTTCATCTTTATTCCTGCTGGAAGTTGGTTGTCGATACCAATTGTAGTCATTTTTATTGGATCACCTAAATATGAAGAAAGCCTGAGTAAAGATGGTTTGAGAACAGAACAAAAGACTTACTATTTACTTATACAATCAACATCAATTCATGTACCCATGATAAAGCTTAGAGCATATGGAACAGTAAAATGAAGCTCCTCTGGCACCATCTCTAATATGGGTAGCAATGGCTGTAGCTGTGACTTCTCAAATGATGTGGCTAAGAAAAGAGATAATACATTTGGTCATTCCGAAAAGCTTATATGTAACAATGCATTCAGATTCAAAGCCACAGAACTGAATTAAAAATGTTTGCGTACCTGGATTGACTAGTATCAACACCAAGTCTAGAGAACGGTTTCTGGCAGCAACAGCAAGAGCCAGGCATCCTCCAAAGGAATCGCCAACGAGATATATTGGCTTATTCGGACGTGTAGCATGCTCCTGCCTCAAAACATCTTCGACTATCTTCATCAGCCCTTTATGGAAAGATCAACAGTGGAGAATATTCAGAAAGTAATCAAGCGAACAACATGACCAAATACCGACCTTATACAGAAACACTCGTTAATTCTTCCATTTGGAACTTATTCATATACATATAATATTAAGTTATACACAGTGACGTGACCATATTCATTCTGGGAAATCGTTTCCTTGCATTATTACAATCTTCTATTTGATGCTAAAGACAATGAGCTGAGTGCAAGTTCTTCTAAGCAGTGTTGTATTTATATGTACTCAGAGATCTCTCTTTTCAATATTACCTTCGAATGGAGTTCGATCATGTACAGGAATATGCAGGCACCAAACATGAAAAGCCCTGTATCAAGAAAACAAATTAATAATAGTTTAGACTGCGAACATTTTTGTGATAAAAAAGTTACCCAACATTAACCATAACAAGACAGATTTAAGTGTAAACTTAGACACTTATGAATACAGTTCATCACAGAATCAGACACTATTGCTTCTGCATTATGAGTTTTTTTTTTTGCTAAGATTCTGCATTATGAGTTCCAGCATATATTTCCATTTTTTACGTCCATAGTCCAATATCATTTCATAAAACCCAGACTTTTCAGAAGGGTGAACATACTTCCCAAGAGCTTTCTCATGAGGAACAAGACCCATCCCTGTGCCATCGAGCCCTGCATTACAAAAAGTTGAAATTATCGAAAAAGCTGACCACATTGAAACATTTACACTATATGAGAATCAGATAGTAAAACCCCGTTACTAAGGAGTAAAGCCTCAGTCTTTAACATTTAATCAAGAGAGCTTAACCAATCAAGTTCAGTCGCCATAGACTTTATTGATTCTGATTTCAAACGTTGGCAGCGTATCAGGCATCATGCATTATGAGAAGTTGAAATTAGTGGAAAAGCTTGGAACTTTACAATGATATTAAAAACAGAAAAAACCCGTTACTAAGGAGTATAGACTGAGTCTTCTGAAGATATCAAACAAGACAAGCCTAAACAATCAAACAAAGAAGTGAAGATGAATACAAGTTTCAAACAATGGAATTATAAGTAAGAAAGTGTGTTTTAGCCATGAGTCCCACACCAAAACCGATATAGGTGAGAAGAAGAAGCAACCAATTTCTGCAATCAAGCTAAAAACCATTGATTCCAATTACCCAATTTGAAAAACCATCGTTCCACGCATTACAAAAAGTTTGGAACTTTGAAAACTGAGGTTCTGATTAAAAGCAGTAAAACCCAATACAAAAAAGTAGAACCTGAGTATTTATATTCCAACGAAAGATTCTAAACAGTCAAAATCAGAAAGACCAAAGCAATTTTCTGCAATCAAGCTAAAAACTATTGAATCCAATTACTTTTACCCTATTTGTGTTGATTTTTCTTACCAGGTAAGAAGAGTAACGTAGGTGCATCCCTGACAGGTTGGCCACATCCAACGGGACTAAACCACCGTGGAGCTCCACCGTCAGGTTTCTTCAAGATCTCTTTAGCAGCCGCAAAGTAATCCTTCACAGATTTGGAGCCATACCCATCATCCCATAAAAGCTCAATTTCATCGCTCACTAAGGATTTTACTTTTTGATTCACTTCATTTCCCAAAATATCATTCCCTTTCGGGTTTTTGACGCTAAACGCAGAGACCAAACCGTTCACAGGTTTCACTGATGTCGCCTTCCTGCTTTCACCAGAAATCTGGGCTCTTGCCTTGAAATTGGGTTTTCGATTACAATTCAATCGGAAACTTGGCCACAACAATAGGCTTGATGAAGTAGTTGCCATTTGCCTATGGAGTTTTGGCAAAAAAAAAAGTGTTGTTAAAAATTTAGAAAAAGAAGTAAGGAAAATTAGATGAAGATGGAAGTATTAATGGGTCGTCGATCAACTCAATCCATTTGATAAAGAGAATTTTATATTTAAAGGCACTTTTACACTTCCAAATATCAAACAAATGCACTTTGAGTTCTAGAGGGATTTTCCACAAAAATCTGGGTAGTGAAAATCCACACATACCCTTGCTTTAATTTTGTAATTACGGGCGTGATTGGTTGTGGCTGTGGCTTTAGATTTTTGGCTGTAGAGTTTAGGCTGTAGGTTTTAGTGCTGTGGCTTTAATTTTTAGTGCTCTAAAATTTTTTTTTTGTAGATTGTGTATTAAATGAAATATTAAAACAAAAAAAAGAAGATATAGAAATAAGAGATTAAAAAAAGAATATAGACAAAATAATAAGGAAAGAGAAGAGAGAGAATTTAGAGAGCACTAAATTTAGTGCTATAGAAAAATTGCTTTCCACAGCTACGGAACTTCCATAAATAAATAAAATTGCTCTATGTTTCAAAAATGGAAAGAGATAAAAGGAGAGCATGATTGGTAATTTTGGAGTGCTGTAGAGAGATATAGAGCTGTGGAGAGCAACCACAGCTCCCACCAATCATCCCCTACATCTACAGATTTTTTTTACCATCTGCGACACAGTAACTAAAGAACGGTTGTGGATCTGGGATTTTTGGCCAACGAATTTAACAGAATAAACGAATAATGTTTGTTGGATCTGGGAGAGATTTGTTTTTATAATTGAAAACAAGTATACTATGAGATTTTGTGTCGAATTCGATATCAACAATCAATTTAGAAGATTTCGTCGTCGAATTCGTTGAAAAAAATTCTGCTGGTTTTTAGATCTGGAAAATTTCCAGTCTCCTTAAAGTTTGGAGAAGATGAATCTATATTAACTCGCGATCATGTCCACATCTACATATCTACGCAGTCATGTACATGCGCCCATCTGGACACCTTTGTTCGGATAATTAAATATTTGGAGTTTGAATGAGATGTGTGTGGACATGTAGATGTGTACATAATTTTGTGAATACAAAGATAATTAACAACTGAATAAGTGTTTTTCAAGTTATTGTTATCGCCTAGACTGTTTCATAGAACGTATCCATATGCTTGTATGTTACAAAGTACGAGGTTATTTGGATTCCTCGGAAGCTCCCGCCCACATCTCCATTCAGGATTTCTTGGCCCACTATTGGCCAAACCACCTGAGCACATACTTGGGGATGTACACACAAAAATGGATGCATGCACACACACAACAATGGGGCAGAGCCATATGGATGGATCCGTTTGGATGTAAAAACGAATTAACTAATCTTAATACAGTAGGTCTATGAGATCCATTAAAACTACTAAGATCACAAGAGATCCATGACTTCGTGTCCACAAAGTTATGTATACGCAGACATGTCTTAATAACCATTTTAAATGTCATAATTAACTAATCTTAATGCAATAGGTTTATGAGATCCATTAAAACTACTAAGATCACAAGAGATCCATGATTTCGTGTACACAAAGTCATGTACACGCAGACATATCTTAATAGCTATGTTAACTGTCAATACAAATATATGTGTAGACAGTTTTGAAGAGTTTTTTTGTCCATATCTTATATCTACAGTATTCTTGGATACAAACTATTGTTTGTCCATGCTTATTTATCCAACAATTAGTATTTGTTTGCTAGTTTGCTATCTTGGTTCAATCAACTCATTTCTTCATAAACGTAACTTGTATGCTAGTTGTGTCCATGCAACCGCATCCATGTGGATAGTTATTCATTTCTTAGTATAGTACACTGCTTTCATCCACGACTGCGTGGACATCTAGATGTGGATATGATCGCGAGCTAACCCAGATTCATCTACTCCGAATTTCAGCGAATCTGAAATCAGTTATATTCATCTTCTCCTCACTCCAAGAAAAGAAACCCAGAAAAAGGTGAGAGAAACTGAACTCAATTTGTCAATACAAATATAAAAATGTGAAATTGAACTCAATTTGTCAATTTGTTTTCAAAAGTGAAATTGAACTCAATTTGTCAATTTGTCAAATACAAACTGAACTCAAGAAAAAAAAAACCAGAAAAAAGTGTTCAGATTCAGTTGATATTGGGTAAAATGAAAAAAGTGAGATAAAAAGAAAGTGAAACAAATGTTGGGTAAAAGAAAAAGAGAACTCAAATTTAGAAGAGAGGGTTTTTTGGTCATTCAAACACTCCAAAGTCCCTTAGGAGCACAAAGTGCCTTTGAGTGTAAAAAATAACTCAAAAGTGTATTTAAATGTAAATGACTCTTTGATAAATGGGTTGAATTGATTTATGAGAATTTTACATTTAAAGGCACTTTTACACTTCCAAATATCAAACAAAGGCACTTTGAGCTCTAGAGGGACTTTCCACAAAAAACTGGGTAGTGAAAATCCACACATGCCCTTGCTTTAATTTTGTAATTACATCTACAGATTTTTTTTACCATCCGCAATACAGTAACTTCCTGTTCTTTTACAGCTGGAGAATTCGCCAGAATAACTGAAGAACGGTTGTGGATCTGGGATTTTTAGCCAATGAATTCAACAGAACAAACGAATAATGTTTGTTGGATCTGGGAGAGATTTGTTTTTATAATTGAAAGCAAGTATACTATGAGATTTCGTGTCGAATTCGATATCAATAATCAATTTAGAAGATTTCGTCGTCGAATTCGTTGAAAAAAATTCTGCTGGTTTTTAGATCTGGAAAATTTCCAGTCTCCTTGAAGTTTGGAGAAGATGAATCTATGTTAACTCGCGATCATGTCCACATCTACATATCCACGCAGTCGTGTACATGCGCCCATCTGGACGCCTTTGTTCGGATAATTAAATATTTGGAGTTTGAATGAGATGTGTGTGGACATGTAGATGTGTACATAATTTTGTGAATACAAAGATAATTAACAACTGAATAAGTGTTTTTCGAGTTATTGTTATCGCCTAGACTGTTTCATAGAACGTATCCATATACTTGTATCCATACTTGGGGATGTACACACACAAAAATGGATGCATGCAGACACACAATAATGGGGCAGAGCCATATGGATGGGTCCGTTTGGATGTAAAAACGAATTAACTAATCTTAATACAATAGGTCTATGAGATCCATTAAAACTACTAAGATCACAAGAGATCCATGACTTCGTGTCCACAAAGTTATATACACGCAGACATGTCTTAATAACCATTTTAAATGTCAGAATTAACTAATCTTAATGCAATAGGTTTATGAGATCCATTAAAACTACTAAGATCGCAAGAGATCCATGATTTCGTGTACACAAAGTCATGTACACGCAGACATATTTAAAAGCTATGTTAACTGTCAATACAAATATATGTGTAGACAGTTTTGAAGAGTTTTTTTTGTCCATATCTTATATCCACAGTATTCTTGGATACAAACTATTGTTTGTCCATGCTTATTTATCCAACAATTAGTATTTGTTTGCTAGTTTGCTATCTTGGTTCAATCAACTCATTTCTTCTTAAACGTATCTTTTATGCTAGTTGTGTCCATGCAGACGCATCCATGTGGATAGTTATTCATTTCTTAGTATAGTACACTGTTTTCATCCATGACTACGTGGACATCTAGATGTGGATATGATCGCGAGCTAACCCAGATTCATCTACTCCGAATTTCAGCGAATCTGAAATCAGCTATATTCATCTTCTCCTCATATATTTTACATGATTTTACTATATAATTACTTATGTTTTCAAACGGTTTTTGCAAGATTCTTTGCCTTTAGAGGTAGTTTTCTTGTATTTGTGGGATTTGAAGTCTTTGTAGGTGAAATAATCAAAAAGGATGCAAAAAGGAGTAAAAGAGCCCTAAATCAAGATCCATGCAAGTTTCCAAGTCAAGAAGACCATTTTATCTCCAAGTGTTAGTTCTCGCTTGCGCGCAGAACGAAGCTTCGGAAGTTTGGCCGCGCGCGGAGGAGTTCCCGACGTCCAAAAGTTACGATCTTGATATGGAAAGATAGATACTTGAGTCATGCATCACGTCGAAGTGGAATGAAGCCATTTGGATCAACTATGAGGCCTAGACTTATTTTCTACCGAGACATGTCCGGTAAGCGAGTAAACGAAGCCCATGGAGGATTTGGAGTGTCTAATGGCCCGAGCAGCAGCGCCAAAGGCCTTGATCGAATAGAGAAGAGGCCTGGCTAATGTTTGGAGCTTTCCTTGGTACAATGTCGGCCCATACACGACGTGGAGAAGAAGGCTTTGCTCGCGGGAAACTTTCCTTTTCCGGCATGAAGAAAACCCTACGCGACTTCGCCCATATATACATGTTTTTAGCCGCTGAAGAAAGAGAGTCGAAAATTATCAAAGAGTGTACGTGTGAGAAGAGAGTTCAGAGAAGAGAAGCCCTAGGAGATCGTCCAAGAAGAAGGAGGCGCCGCTCAACTCTTGTTCTTTCTTTTTCATTGTTTCCATTTCTATAAACTTGATTTAAGAGTTTTCAAGGGAGAATCCGACTTTGTTCATCAATAGAGAAGCTTTCTTCATCCCTTTATCTCTTTTAATACTTGCATAATGTTTACAATCATGCTTTGCTTGCTTGTTTGCATCATGGCCGAGTAGATCTCTTAGTTAGGCCGAGGAGATCTATGGTGGCCGTGATGATTTGATTGTGTTGCAACTTATTGGGATTTATCTTATGGATCTTCACCTTTACTTGAGCTTAATGCATGATTACTCTACCGTACATCTAGTAATCTGATCTTAGAGAAATAGAACCACGACAGTGCTGAATCTAGATCTCAAAACTAGTATTTGGTGAGCAATAGATCATAGCCAACGAAAGCTGAGTTATGGTTTATTGTGAACAATTGAATCTTGAACCTTGTAATGCATGTTTGCAATTCTAATAGCCAACGAAAGCTGAGTATATTAGGTTGTTTTAAACATAGTGGTTGGAGCCACGACAGTGGAAAGACCATACACTAGTGATTCATGTTCAAGACGGCTCTACACACATCCCATGCAACTATCTTTTCATCATTGCTCCATATGATTGTCCTTTGCCTAACTCTTGTTTTAAATTGTTTACAAACTCACTCACATTTCTTTTTTGTTTTCTCATTCTAGGTCCAAAACCATCATATTGCGAGCTAGCTACAAACCAATCTCACAAGGTGTTAAGTGAGAACACTTCCTCCTCGTGTTCGACCCCGACTACAACACGGCTGTGCACTTGCAGCTCATTAGTTGGGTTTATAAATTGTGAAAATTTGAGGCAATCTAAACCCGCCATCAAGCTTTCTGGCGCCGTTGCCGGGGAGGAGTTGCTTTTCCTTCACACCTCTTGATTGATTTCAAGACTAGCTCATCTCATCTTTCACTTTTCTTTGTTTTTGTTTTTCATAAAATCTTAAAAACTCATAAAAATTTTACTTAACTCTCTCTCTTTGTGTGTTTCTAAGGTGCATGACAAGAAGGTCCAATCCAAATACAACCATTGAAGAAGATCTTGACATTGACCAACTTGAGCGCACACTTAGGCGACTAAGGAGAGAAAGAATGAATCCAGGCGGAGAAGGCGCGCCAAATAGGCCAACAACCCGCCCGACCAAGAGAGGAGAGCCAATGATCCTCCTAATCCAGCAGAAGCTAGAGCTGACCAGCCAGCACCGGCCAGAGACGTTCCTCCGCCCAATCCGAACGCGCCCGATGCAGCTGAGCCGCTACAGCCACCTCTTAACCCGCCGCGACCACCACCGGCGTTTGCAAATGGACATCATCGTCACGGTGACAACCAAGGGATGCCTCAAGACCAACCTCACGCACCTCCAAGGAGAGTGCCAAACGCGCAGCATCCAAGGCACCAAACTATGGGAGACTTTGATTCGTCCGATGCTTTCTTTATGGATCGGAATCCAATCCGACCGCCTCTACCTCCAAGGAACGATTTTGAGATCAAACCGCAGATCATTGCCTTGGTGAAGCAAAACCAATTCCATGGTTTGCCCACTGAGCATCCTCTTGATCACGTCGACACCTTTGAGGAGATATGTAGCACAACTCGTGTTAATGGAGTATCGCCGGATTACTTCAAGTGCAAGCTATTCACTTTTTCTCTAAGTGACAAGGCGCTAAGATGGGTAAAATCTTTACCACCTCAGTCCATTACAACATGGAATGAATACAAGGGAGCTTTCTTGAACCAATTCTACACTAAGCAAAGATCCAACTCTATAAGGAGCAAGATTTCTGGTTTCAAGCAAGATTCAATGGAGTCATTCTATGAAGCTTTGGAGAGATTCAAGGAGTACACAAGAAGCTGCCCTAACCATGGCTTTTCAGAAGGTAACCTTTGGAACATCTTTTACAATGGGATTGATCATAAATACAAGCTTTCTCTCGATACCGCGAGCAATGGTAATTTCATGACCAAGTCGGTGCCGGAGGCAAAGCTTTTGATTGAGAATCTCGCTGCTAGTGATGCCAATGCATGCCCTGACTACAATAGAAGCGTGAAGACCACGAGCTCATCAGAATCAGCTCAAATCTCGGAGCTAAGGAACATGGTCTCACAACTACTTAAAAGCCGACAAGGAGTTCACGCCATTGAAGATGCCCTAGCCACAAATGAAGACACTCTTATGGATTTCATGAGAGATGGCGCTGAAGAGAATCTAGAGGAAGTCAACTACATTGGAGGAAACTATGGGAATAGAGGATTCAATCCACCATTTCGCGCGCATCCAAACCTATCATACCGGAGCAACAATGTGGAGAATCCAAATGACCAAGTCTACCCCAATCAAGGAGCGTATCAAGGAGGCCAATACCAATCCAAGCCACAACAAGTCTATCCAAGAGGGATGTACCAAGTGAAGCAACCATTCACTTTTTCTCAAGAAACAAATCCAACCCAAACCGGAGAGAAGGTTGACGTGGCGTTGAAGAAATACATGGAGGAGCAGAGATTGATCACCAAGAACCTATATGAGAAGCTTGATCACATGTTTGGTGATCTAAGCAGCAAGTTTGGGTCTCTCTCTACTCACGTTCAAAAGCTTGAGGTGCAAATCGCTCAAACAGCCGAGGCGGCCAAGAAACAAAATGAGGTAAACACTCAAAAATTTTGTAGTGTTGTCTCATCTATAGATGGCACAATTGTTCCTACACTATCTCAAGGGGAAGAAGAAGAAAATGAGCCTGAGGAGAGGCACAAACCGGAGAGATACAGTTGGGAATCAAGAAGAGCATACCCAAAACCAAAGGAGAAGAAGAAAACATTGGAGCCGAGGCATGAAAATGTCTTTAAGATATCAACTCCATCTTACTTCCAACCTTTGACGAATATGGAGCTGAAGAGGAGACTAATGGTGCACCTAATCTCTTTCACAAGATAAGAATCTTTACACCAAAAGATTCGGAGCTTAAAGGTGACCAATCCATTGAAGAGAAGCTTGAGAGAACTATGAAGCTTTTCCCCAAGGCATTGGTTTTCAAAGATGATGTGAGAGATGACTATGGCGCGACAACACCACCACAAGAATCCACTGAACCGGAGAATGGAGAAGCTAAAGGGATCCTTTGCCCTTCAGCCACTCTTCACCACGATTGAAAGAAAGAAAAGGAGTCAAGCTAAATGACTTAAAACAAAAGCGCTTTATGGGAGGCAACCCATATGGTTTTTAACTATCTATTTCTATTTTGCAGGAGTTTTTCAAAAATCAAACAAAAATACAAAAATATTTTCTTAGGATGAAGACCCAAAGGAGACCAAACAATGAAGTGTCCCACCCAATGAGCCCACCCTTGTACAAGGCGTTTCTCTTCCAAAAGGTAAGTAAACTCTCACCTAGTATTCATTTCTAATCACTCTTGATCTTCACTTGAAAAATCGTTTAAACCATTGCACTTTATCAAATATATTTCATGGTTTAACTTGATTTACTTTTGATGATTGGAAAGAATACATAATCACTTGTCAAAACTCATTCTGCTCACTGAAATTACAAGAGATTGAACTATAGTTTGAAATTTGGATCATTGACCAAGACCAAATAAGAATTTATAGTTTGTGCTTTAATCTCTTGGATTGTGAACTTCAAGTTGGTCACTTGAGGATCACAATCTGAGAAACCATCTAATCATGATTTCAAGTGTTTTGCAAGGAGTTAACCATTTGACAGGAAGGAGAAATAAAGCAAACCTATAACCACCTAAAACCAACATGCATATGGCGGCCAAAGGGAGGTTAAAAGGAGATACAAGGCCATCACACGAAACAAGGCGGCCACCACTTGGGAATGACACAGGAGGGTTATTAAAACAATTCGGTCGAAGAAAATCTCAATTGGCCCGAGTGGATTTGAAGAAATTCAATCCGGACATTTCTCTCGGCCATACCGCGCACAAGGAGCCAAATTACGGCCAACTCCTAAACGGCGTGACCAAAGTCCACCAAACTTCACAGGCGACCATAAAATCACATTTTGGTCGGCAAATCCAAAAGATAGGACGGAGAAATCATCACGGATCATGAGATAGACGACGGAGCTCATTCTGGCCGATGGCGCGCAAGCAATATGGCCGACAAAACCAAATCACGGCATAGGCGCGCCAACCGGTTGGAAAACTCTTCTTTGAGCTTAACTAACACTTTTATGCAGGAAGAAACGAAAAGGAACGAGCCAAACTTCACATGGCCAAGGAAACTCCTTCCCGGAGCCGACTTGACCATTTTGTGAAGGAAGTCTCAATCCGCTCGTACAAATGCTCCCAAACTTCACCAGAGGCATAAAATACCAGGTTGGTCGATGAAATTTCAATATAGGTCATGAAATTTTTGACGGTTTGTTCTGTAGTTCACAGCACCACATTTTGGCCGACCGAATATACCAATCTCGGCCAAAACACAAACCGGCGGAAACCAAGGCCTGAAATTAAAAACTCACCGACCAATATTGCCTAAAGAAGTGTAGAATGACCCAAACCAGAACTGATCTTCATTATAAATTGGTCGACATTTGGTAACATCATCCTAAACCTTTTTCTTTTCAATTTTTCATTTGAACTTCATGTTATGCCTCTCTTAATCCGATTTGATTTCACCGGGACGGTGCAAGTTAAGTCTGGGGGGATTACTAACAATGTTTGTTCATTTTGGCGTTTTCATTTGCATTTTTTCCCTTTTATCGAGTCGTTTTTATTGAGTCAAAATTTTTGTCGAGAATCATGACCTTATCTTGGATCTAACCATGGTTGTACTAATGTTTAAGTGACCATTGAGCAGTTCTTGGCAATACATCTTACCACAGGTGCACTATGAGTTGATCGATCTACCAAAAACGCCTACATCTCTAAAGACTTGAGAAGGATCCATCTTTGACTCCGCCCTTAATGAACTTAATCTTCTCAGCTAGGGGCTTGGCATACAAATGGCATGATTCCTCATCCTCTCCATCAAATGAAAAAGTCTTAGTGAGTTCGTGCTTCCCTCTCTCTCCCCTTCAAATTTAAAGAAAAAGCGTAAGGTCCAAGTAACCGGGGATTCGGTGGCAAACACCATCAATACTCGCGTCTATGGAAGGCCTATGAATCCAAGCAACCGGGGATTCGGTGGCAAACACCATCAATACTCGCGTCTGTGGAAGATCCAAGCAAAACCTCTATAATAAAGAGAAGGAGTTGAATAAAAAAATACTTCGCTACCCTAAAAAAGGGATGAATCAACTCAAAGAAGTGAGAAGAGAGAGAGGAGAAACATGGAGTAAAAGACAAGTGCCAAACAAGGGGATGAGAAAGAATCTAAAAGCCGGCTGATCGATACTCCCTAGTTGAGACCACACCTTTAGAAATGAAAGGAGTCAAGGGTGGCGAATTGGATTGTCCAAGGAGAGGTGGACCGCTTTGGGAAAATCGCAAAACTCATGGTATGTACTTTGTTCTTAATTCAAAACTTGCCAATGCTGTTTCATGTGGATTACTAAAGCATAAGTCAATTTGGATTTCCAAAAGATTTGAGAGTTCTCACGTTTTCAAACCTCTTTTCCTGCTTAGTTTGCTTGGGGACAAGCAAAAGGCTAAGTCTGGGGGAGTTGATATCACCATATTTTACATGATTTTACTATATAATTACTATGTTTTCAAACGGTTTTTGCAAGATTCTTTGCCTTTAGAGGTAGTTTTCTTGTATTTGTGGGATTTGAAGTCTTTGTAGGTGAAATAATCAAAAAGGATGCAAAAAGGAGTAAAAGAGCCCTAAATCAAGATCCATGCAAGTTTCCAAGTCAAGAAGATCATTTTATCTCCAAGTGTTAGTTCTCGCTGCGCGCAGAACGAAGCTTCGGAAGTTTGGCCGCGCGCGGAGGAGTTCCCGACGTCCAAAAGTTACGATCTTGATATGGAAAGATAGATACTTGAGTCATGCATCACGTCGAAGTGGAATGAAGCCATTTGGATCAACTATGAGGCCTAGACTTATTTTCTACCGAGACATGTCCGGTAAGCGAGTAAACGAAGCCCATGGAGGATTTGGAGTGTCTAATGGCCCGAGCAGCAGCGCCAAAGGCCTTGATCGAATAGAGAAGAGGCCTGGCTAATGTTTGGAGCTTTCCTTGGTACAATGTCGGCCCATACACGACGTGGAGAAGAAGGCTTTGCTCGCGGGAAACTTTCCTTTTCCGGCATGAAGAAAACCCTACGCGACTTCGCCCATATATACATGTTTTTAGCCGCTGAAGAAAGGGAGTCGAAAATTATCAAAGAGTGTACGTGTGAGAAGAGAGTTCAGAGAGAGAAGCCCTAGGAGATCGTCCAAGAAGAAGGAGGCGCCGCTCAACTCTTGTTCTTTCTTTTTCATTGTTTCCATTTCTATAAACTTGATTTAAGAGTTTTCAAGGGAGAATCCGACTTTGTTCATCAATAGAGAAGCTTTCTTCATCCCTTTATCTCTTTTAATACTTGCATAATGTTTACAATCATGCTTTGCTTGCTTGTTTGCATCATGGCCGAGTAGATCTCTTAGTTAGGCCGAGGAGATCTATGGTGGCCGTGATGATTTGATTGTGTTGCAACTTATTGGGATTTATCTTATGGATCTTCACCTTTACTTGAGCTTAATGCATGATTACTCTACCGTACATCTAGTAATCTGATCTTAGAGAAATAGAACCACGACAGTGCTGAATCTAGATCTCAAAACTAGTATTTGGTGAGCAATAGATCATAGCCAACGAAAGCTGAGTTATGGTTTATTGTGAACAATTGAATCTTGAACCTTTAATGCATGTTTGCAATTCTAATAGCCAACGAAAGCTGAGTATATTAGGTTGTTTTAAACATAGTGGTTGGAGCCACGACAGTGGAAAGACCATACACTAGTGATTCATGTTCAAGACGGCTCTACACACATCCCATGCAACTATCTTTTCATCATTGCTCCATATGATTGTCCTTTGCCTAACTCTTGTTTTAAATTGTTTACAAACTCACTCACATTTCTTTTTTGTTTTCTCATTCTAGGTCCAAAACCATCTCATATTGCGAGCTAGCTACAAACCAATCTCACAAGGTGTTAAGTGAGAACACTTCCTCCTCGTGTTCGACCCCGACTACAACACGGCTGTGCACTTGCAGCTCATTAGTTGGGTTTATAAATTGTGAAAATTTGAGGCAATCTAAACCCGCCATCAAGAGTCAAATAATTAAAAATCATATCCATACAAGTCCGTCCACGAGTCACAATCCACAGATAAATGATGTACTAGTCACATTTGGATTCAATTTCATGGACTGCTCAACATACATACAGCACAAACACACCTGTATTTTTATCCCTTCATGGAGGGTTGAGCAGTGTTCATGACTAAATAAATAAGAAATGGGATGGATTGTTGTATATGAGTGAGTGGATAGTTGACATCCGAGATGACCTAACGACATCTCAGATGTAATTATCTCTTGTTACGACCCAATATAATCTTTACCAAGAAGACAATATAATATGTATTACCCAACGATGACACACCTACAAAATACTTTTCCTTTATTACGACCTAAGGGTCGAAGACGTCTCCCCAACAATACATGAACATTGATCTTTTAATTCAGTAAGTCATAATTACTGTATTACACCAGTCATTGACAATCGAGAGCTACATATCCACGGTTGCCAATCCATGAAACCAAATCTCAAAACACAATAAGATCTTATGGTAGAAGATATGGGCCTTCCAAGTTGGTTGTTGAAAATCAATCACTTCTCTAATTCCCGTCCAGAGTATCCCATCCACGTGAATTTTTATTGACATGAGAAGATGGTCATGGATATGAGGAGATGGTCATGAATATACACCCCTGTTTTTTATTAGTAAGTGATTGATTGATTTATCTATGAAGTCGTAATCTAAAAGTTCACACGAAGAGATGATCATATGGACATTGATCTGAACATGATTGTATGAACACTGATCGTATAAGACTCTCGAAACTTGCTAAACATACCAATTTGGTAGTGAAGTTTGAGTCATGCTATATCCATTTATATTCCAAAACAATTATCCAAACAAAGACGTCCAGATGGGCGCACGACGTGCACACGACTGTGTGGACATGTAGATGTGGACATGATCGCGAGTTAATCCAGACTCATCTTCTCCAAATTTGAACGAAACTGAAATTTTTCCAGATCCAATAGCTCTTCTTCTAATAACAGTAGACAATTTTCCAGATCGAATTAACCCAAATTCATATAATAACAGAATAAATTTTTCCAGATCCATAAGCTTCTTTGCAATGGTCTTCTTCCTCCAACGTAGGATAAAAGTAGCTTTTTAAACAAAAAAAATCTCCCCCAAATCCAACATCTGTTTTTCTTAGGGCCTAACTGGTGTTTTGATGAATTGCTGAATGTAGTAGAATCATGCTGAATACTGTACATGAGTTACCAGTTTCTAATTGCTGAATTCAGTTGAATTGAATTTCAGAAGACGACAAAATCTGAGGAATTTTATATTTTTTTCAATAATTGATGATTTTACATAAAAAAACAAAAAAAATAGAGTTCTTATTCTTATAGATAAAATTGAAAAAATAAATATCTATAAACACAAAAAAAAAATTTCCTATAGATAAAATTGAGTTAAATTTGATGTTTAATAAATTATTATGAATTAAATTTCTTAAATTTAAATATTTTAAATAATTTTTTAGATATAATTATTATTTAGCTATTTTATAAGTATATTTTTCTTCATAATTTAACTGGATAAATATTTTATTATTCCATTAAGCAAATAATTTATCAGGGTTTTAAGCTTTTCTTTATATATTAGTATTTCACTATAATGAATTTAATTTATGTGACAAAAAGAATTAAAAATTTAAGATTATTTTTTTTATATAATGTGAATTACATATTTAAATGAACGAGTAGTTAGGTATTTAGCTTTCCTCTAAAAATATAAAAAAAACTATAGAATGTCATAAAAAAATTCTAAGAGTGGGACAATTAATCAATTATCCGATCCGATGTCTTCGAATATTCGAATTTTTGAAGTGTTTGAAATTGAATATTCATAATAAAATTACGGATCCAAAAAAAAAATTACAAATTCATATCTAGAAAAGAAACAAGTGTAAAAAAATATATTCGAATAGGATATGATATATTAAAGAATACCTATTTTAGTCTAAAATACACTTAATTAATTATAATAAGATTTAATAGAGATCTTTATATTATTATCAAGCATAAAATTTATAGAAGAAGAAGAGACAACAACATATGGTACTCATATGCATATAATACGGGAGACAATTAAGCAGCAAATATAAGACGGTTTTTATTAATGAATCATATTTTAAAAATGTCTTTTTTTCATTTGATATTTGATGTGAAAGAAATTATTATAAATCATATATCATAGATATTTTAAATTATTTATTTGATTTAACTATTATGTAGTTATTTTACAACTATATGTTTTATATTTATTTTGTTAATTTAAATGGATGAATATTTTACTATCTATTTCACCAATAATTTGTTAGGTATTTATTCTGTATTTAGCAACATTCAGCTGTTACCATTCATATTACTAACTAATCAACTAGATTCTGCAACAAATTTCAATTTAATTCCGCAATATTCCGCATTCAGCAACATTCAGCGGTTACCATTTAGACCCTTAAAACACATACATCGCAGAAACCAATTGGGTTTCTTTAGCAAAAAAAGAAAAGAAAAAATTAAATATATATCTACGTGGCGTTTCTTTAGCTGTGAATCGTCTCTTCCCGGAGTGACTGCAGAAAGGTTTCTTTGACAGTTTCTACACATGTCAGATACCGATTGGATGTTATTTTATTTTTTCATTTTTCTTTTAAAAAAAAGAAAAAAAAAGTTTAAAGAAACTCAAGTGAGTTTCTGCGATGTATGTTCTCTTAGTCTCTGTATTGTTTCTTCCTCCAACGTAAACGAGAGGTGAAACGTGAGCGGTGAAATAAAAAGATAAAAAAATATTAAATAAAACAAGTAAAGTAAAACAAAACCGTAATATAAGAAGAGAAAAAGGGGTGTTTTGTCATTACAATACCTCAAAGTCACCTAGGAGTAGAAAGTGCCTATAAATGTAAAAAAAAAAAAGACAAAAGTGCTTATAACTGTAAATCACTCTTACAAACAAATACATTTAAAGGCACTTTTACAAAGTCTTATTACATGTAAAGGCAATTTCCACTCCAAGGTGACTTTGCTCACTTTTGAAGGAATGAAGGAATCAAATTCCAAAGTTGCCCTTTTATTAATTTGTGTTAAAGTTAACTTTTTTACCATTAACGCCATCTCTTTCACCATCTTTAGTCTTTCTCTTTTGATGATAAACAGTTTTCATCTTTCAAAACTCTGATTACACCATTGATGATCCATGTTCTAAGAGATACAAATGTATCTGTCCAATAGATGCTGAATTTACTTTTCTTCCTTATGTTTTCAATTTGTGGCTTTTCATAAACCTTATTTTGCAGAGAAAAATTAAAACCAGTTCCGCACATAATTGGTAAGTTTATTCAGAAATCCATCTAAAACCCAGATTTGCAAACATATTATATATAATAATTCTCATAAATTTTTTATCTGAAATTTTAAGAAAACAGATCACAATCGTCATTAAATTTTAGAGAGAGATTTAGATTCATCATTGCAAACCAGTTGTCCACAATATGTTGTCCATAATAAATAATCCATATCATTTTATCCACACACTTTTGTTACTATAGATGAATTCTACCAAAAAAAGTAATACTAAACTACTTTTTATTGACTGATTTCTCTAAATTACATTTCACAAGTATACTTTTATCTATAATATCTACAAGTAACTATCCATGAACACATTATTCATCCATAATTTCCTAAATACAACTTCTTTCTCATATATATACAAGACTATGAAGCTTGACAATGGCAACAATGTACTATCCATCCATTGTATTGTGGCAGCAATGTATTATCAACCCATCCATTGTATTTTGTCTATATGGTCTATTACTATAATTTATGCTCAATGTACTAATTATTGGTGCAATCTAACTTTTATTAAGTGATTGTCCATCCATTTAATATTCAAACCCATGATTCCATGTGGATAGTTCTATTAAACTCTTTAGATTGTGATTTTTGTTTGTCTTGCATTTTCACTATCCATCCACACAAACACATCCATATGGTTACATATGTGCTTACAAACGCATCCATCCATATTGATGCGTATATGTCTTGCATTTTCACTTTCATGAATTCTTCACTATCCATCCACACAAACACATTCATGTGATTACAAATGCATCCATGTGGATGGATGCATATATGTTTTGCATTGGCATCCTTCATGAATTCTTCACTTTCCATCCACACAAATGCATCTATATAGTTAAAAATACATCCATATTCCGACCAGTTTATTACATATCATATAGACACAATATAATGGATAGGTTTCACAAATTTGTCTGTCTGATTGATATTCACATTCGCACATCCATTATTGTCATCAACTTATTTATTTTTGTTGCCTATGTGTAATATTAAGTTATTTCAAAACTAGTCCACAAGGATTGGTATATATAGATTACTGAATTTGAGATTTCATATTATATTATTAACCATGTTGCCAATGTAAAAAAATGTGTTAACTTTGTATGTATATTTGTGCTTAAACTTTGATATTGGTAACAATTTGATATGTCTGACCAAGCTCAGTTTAAAGCAAAAAATGAGACAAGGATGACATGGAGGAAAAATTGGTAAAAATGAGCTAAAATTTAAACTTAAGTGCAGGTTTTGTTGATGCAAGAGGCTGAAGTTTAAATAGAAACATGTTTTTTTTTTAATCTATTTTTTAACGTTTTAATGCTTGTTTGAGAATGTAAGAGTTGTGACTTTTCTTTGGTAATCTATATAAGAATCGTTGTTGTAATACTTAAGCATCAAGTAACATATTGAATAAAGGAAGAACTCGCAACATTTTGGAGTTACAATGTTATCAAATGGTGCGTTTGTGAGTTTAAATGTAACCTATTAGTGCCCATTTGTTCATGATCCATGCGGATACATATAATTTTTTCTCATTTACAAATATGTATCCATATGGATTGGTCACCTTTAAAGAATTAGATAAACTAAACTACGCTTCAAAAAATTCAGAAAAGCCATAAATTGAGGTAAAATTCATTGCTAATATACACTCACTCATATCCATGCATTGATACATACACATATTACAAGCCATGTTCTCATACACACAATAACATCCATAATCGTGTATCCACAAATAACCATCCACACATAAATACAAATACCAGTCTCAAAGAATCTGGAGATGAGTATCTTCATTATTGTCGATAGTTTCCTGCAGGTGGCAAAAATAGTAAGAGACTTGCGATAAAATAAAAAGGATGAGTAAAGGTTATGTAACCTACTTTCTTATTCTCCTCCACATTCTCCCGAGGAGTTACATCTCTGTGTACGGGAGACTCTGGACGGTGTTAAATTTCTGGGAATAACCGGTGGAGTAGGTTCTTCCTGTGCGCTCTTCTCTCCCATCTGCGTGATTACGTGGACGGGTGACTCTGAACAGAGTTTTATATCCATGGCCATATCTTCCTGTCCAACAAGGTCAGGTATACCGTCCACCACTTGTTGTACCCCTGTTTTCCTGTACCCCTGTTTCAAACGCACACGAAGACTACGGAATTCTTATGGGATAGCTATCCATCAAACACAGAAACCACGGCTGTCTAATTCGTCGATAAGTGCGGCTAATAACATGAAATTGATACAATGGTGGTACCGGCAGAGGGAGCGGCAGAGATGAACAATTGTGTTTTCACATGGATAAGTACAAATCCATTAGCAGATCTGTATTCTGTTTCAAACGGACAAGAAAACGACGGGAGGGCACAACTGCTTAATTCAGGGAAGGAGTCCCACTTCTACTGCTAGTTAGACAGGGACTATGTACAAGAAGGCTTATCCACGCAATACTACCTTAAAAGTTTGAGATCTTCGTCCATGGGCTGCTGTACATTTTGATCACGAATCTAATCCACATCCACCTGACCAAGCAGTTTAAGCGTGGATATCTGAATGTATGTCATGGATATACATGTTATATATGGATACAAATGATAACCATTACAACATACAAAAGTTGTTGCTATGGTCAACCACATGTAGCCAACATTACATGAACAGCTGAATGTGGATAAATAAGTTCTCCACCCATCTTTCTTCGTCAGCCTATTGATTATCGAATCTTCGACAAAAACTTTGCTTCTTGTGAGAAATCAGAAAAATTAAAAGATATCTACACCATTCTTCTTTCTAAACTTATGCTTATTTCGATAGTAAGTGGAGTGAAATATTATAATCACCTTCCATGGTTTTCCCTATATCCTTCTTTCAAACGCACATAGAGACGACGAGATTCTTATGGGATAGCTATTCTTCAAATAGAGAAATCTCGTCGAAAGAAGTTGCTAGTTAAAGCGGCTGAAAACTCGTTAATTGATATTACGGTGGTACCGGCAGCGGGAACAGCAGAAAAATCACAATGGTGAATTTTAGGATTTTTCTGTTTTCACTGTTTAAGTTTTTGTGTTGTAAAAAAAGTTTTTGTGTTGTAAAAAATGTAAAATGTAGAAGGAGGTGAAATGATGGGATTCATATAAGAATTAAAGAGAAGGAGTTTTTGGTCTTTCATTATCCCAAAGTCATCTTGGAATATAAATTTCCTTATTTGTCAAATTGAAACTCATAAGTGCCTATGAATGTAAATCACTCATTACAGAAAAAATTACATTTAAAGGCACTTTTACAAAATCTTATTACAAGCAAAGGCACTTGGATATAACAAGAGTATTAAGTAAATTAGTATTTGGGTATGAATTATCCATTAACTCATTTTACCCATGTAATTAAGAGATAATTACATCTATAGGCAATTTTATACTTACTAATATCAAGCAAAAATACTTATATTTAATAAGGAACTTTCCAAAAAAAATTGGGTAGCGAAAATCCTAACATGCTATTGCATTAATTTTGTAGTTACATCTACAGACTTTTTTTTACCATCCGCGCCGCAGTAACTTCTTGTTCTTTTACAACCGGTGAATTCGCCGGAATAACCGAAGAACAATTGTGGACCTGAGATTTTAGCTGACAAATTCGACGGAATAAACGAAGAACGGTTGTGGATCTTAGAGAGATTCTCTTTCTATCCGGATCACCACTAACCTCACTCCTTGATTTCGAATTCGTTGAAAAAACTTATGTTGGCTTTCAGATCTGAAAAATTTTCAGTCTCGTTGAAGTTTGAACACTCAGTCTCGCAAACAGAGTGTTTCCTGTGTCATTGAGAACATTAACTTCATGGTAGAAATGGAAGTCGATCTCAATGATCGAACCACAAAAAAAAAACACATGGAAATAATTTCCCCAACAGAGAATTATTATTGACTTATGTAGTATTTGTTTTAGTTTTCGGGTGTTCGAATGTTCGTGATCAACATCAATTATGTATTGTAATTATATTAGACGTTTTAGCTGTTTAAAAAATCCGACTTTCTTGATTCTCAATATATCATCAACAGATTTTAACAACTTTTTAATGAAATTGGTGGTTTCTTTTTCCAAAAAATTGATGATTAATCTAAAACGAAAGTAACAGAAAATTGATCTTTTTGCAGTTACCAAAACATCAAAAAAGGGGATTACATTGTGAGTGAGTCGTATTCTCTCAGTCTCTCTCGAAACCATTCACAAAACACATGAAAAAAGTGTTAGCTGAAGTAAAACAGAGACACATACGATTGATTTGCAGATTCTCAATCATAGAAATAAGAGTAATTTTTATTACCAATAAGAAACAGAGCTTGTGATAATGAAAGTGCCAATTACAAAAATGAAGAAAAAAGAGATGGAAGCACATACCTCATTCCTCTGAACATATTTGACCGAGCAGCTTCTTCGTCGCTTCACTAACTTCAACGTTTTCTATCTTCTAGCACCGGTGCATAGCAGGATGACTCTTCCCCGCTGCTGCATATGTTCTGATCAACGATTCAAAGATCTCTGCGCCTATCTTATTCTTCACCTTCTTTAAAATCTCTTCCAAACTCTCAGCTCCGTTAACATCTTTCTTCTCCTCAAAACGGCTCAACAAAGTACTGACCGTTTCTTGTGATGGTATCTACATGTATTCAACATCTTGAAGCAAATGTATGTATAATCCGAAATGTCACACCAATTTCAAGAGAATCTCTCTTTGCTCCTATACCAATTGCAAGACAATAGCATGAAAAACTACCATTTCAGAATCTTGAAGTTGGTACAAAATCTTGAGGGTTGCGTTCTGCAAATTGGAGTCCTGCCATCGTTCTTCACTTGAAGCTTGGTAAAGTGGTTAAATTTTGTTGTTAAGAAATATTCTCAGAACCTATGACAGACGTTACACATAATATCTAATCCAAGGACACTTTGATTTGTTCGTACCAAGTAATATGGGTGTGTACAGAGACATGAAGCATAAGACCCACGAACATTAACTTCCTCTACGGTGAAATGAGCAAAATTATGAAACTGATCACCCACGAACATTAACTTCCTCTGTCACTATACAGTTTGATGGTAATTAGTCAACGTAGTGAGAAAACCAAAATTCACAAATAATTTAGCCCAAGTAGACCAGAAGAAAATAGTTAAAAGACACCAACATCTGTGCAAATCAATGGAGAAGGAGGAATCTGTCGTGTGGATCACTATGAGCCTTATCTTGCTCCTTTTCTCTCTCGGAACCTCTATTCTGTAAAGCAACTCGACTTCTCGGTGAAAGTGTTGAGCCCTTTTGGTTCTTTTAGATTATTAGAGCTATCGACGACTTGAATATTCCGTAAGTAACTCGCTTTCGTGAACCCTGCATCCGGAAGCTGACCGCTTCCCATTTGTGTGGTCGTGTGGTGACCATCTTCTTCCATGTTCACCACTTCTCCGCCCCATTCTACTATTGATGCACTATCAGCTAAGTAGGAGAACAGAAAGCTTGGCCAGTATCCTAACACATAGCCGTCCCCAAACTGCATCCACCAATGCCCTTCTTTCGGATCCTACAAGAAAAATGTGCACCATTTCTCAGTTTGACTGATCAGACACTCTCAAAGATCCATAAAGCTAGCAGAAAAAGTGATATGTCAAAGGAATTCCATGAAAAGAAATGGTTCTTGAGAGAAACTTCACGGAAACCGGTTTGACACAATCATTGATCCATAAAGTATTCATTGAGCTTGAAAAAGCTAAGTTTTTTTTTTTAATAATTCACTTAAACTAAATTGGTTCTTGAGATGAGTTTCAAAAAAATTAAACCGGTTTGACTCATTAAACTCAACCACTGGTACATAAAGTTCGCATCTTTGAGGTGTAAAACCTGAGAGTGGTTGATTGAGAGCTTTAACAAATGGAAACTGGATCTACCTTCCAAATGGTAATGCTGATATCGTACTGCGATTTGTTGAAGCCAGACACCGGAGAAATGCTGGCTCCCATTGCTACTTGACTGTTGATTTGTATAAAACCCGAACAAAGGAGAAATTAAGCTTTATGATTTCTCATAACCATCGACCAAAGCTGTGAGAAACAAACGCAAAACATCCAATTTTTAAACATAGCCCATGACTGGACATTAGAATCAAGAACTCGAGGGGAAACAGTTTCATCTCGTGGAGAATCATCTGTTTATTGCTTAGCATCGTCTTCAACTCTGCGAAGTTACCATCCAATTGTTATGAAATTGAAAAGAAGAATCTACTAACCTGTGAAGGAGACAGAGCGAGGAACGAAGAAGAAAGTCGTCTCGTCGCCGTGGTGATAGAGCTTTACGAGGGGATAACACATACTGATTGTGCCTCTGTATCTATATCGTAACTACATAAGATTTTGATAATTGTTGGATTCATCGTTTGATGGCCAATAGCTTTATCGCAAATTGGAAGATCATAGATCTTCTCTATCTAATGAATGGGGAGGGGGAGTCCGCTTTGAAATCGTCCGCGGTTTCAAAAAGGGTGGATCAATATGCGATTGAACAAAATATAAATAGGGTGGAGATGATTGAAACCACTGGCCATTAAACTCTACGATCGAAGATGAAGAGGAAATGAAGTGTAAAGAGAGAACTGAAGCGGCGATGAGCGAAACAGAGAACTAAATCGACAAATAATGAATGGGCATGTGTCACTCTCTCCAAAGCTATTCTAAAACCCTGGATGTGGAGAGGAGATAATGGAAATGTAAGTTTTGACGGAGAGAGGAAATTCCACTCAACGAATAAAGAAAGAGAGGTTGACGATTGAAATATCTGAAACCCTAGAAGTGCTGGAAGATTTCTTCTCTGAATTTTTGGGTGATGATTCGCTCGGCTGTAGACTGGAAGGATGGAGAAGAGATGGAGAGGAGAAGGTCTGGAGACGAAATCGGAAGAAGAGGAGACGAAATCGTGAGAAAAGGTAATTTTTAGTAAAGAAAATCAGAAAAAAACAATTTAGAGTGCCACGTGGCCATCTCTCCCGTGCTGACGTGGCGGTCAGCTGGAGAGAGATGGCCTTCTTTTATAGTATAGGATTTATTCCTTTAGGTTTGTTCTCAATTGAGGATAAATTGGTAGTTATCGAGCATTTTTATTTTCTTTTTAAACTCCAATATTATGTTATGTTTATGTTTTTGGTAGTTGATTGTAACATGTCCGACCCATAGTACAAGCAAGCTATAAAAAAATCATTGAGTACCAATAGAATGATAGAAAAAAGATTGTTGATTCTATATTAAAAGCTATATTTGTTAATTATCAAAAAAAAATATATAGTTTAGTTTTAACATATTATAAACATTGATATATATATATATATATATATCTTTAAATTTACAAGTCAAATGAAATTTATGTTATTACTAAAAAGAAGAAGAACATAAATTTGGACAACTAATAAATTTTCATGACTATATTATATAGAGTTTATCTATAAATATGTCCTTTGTTAAAACTGGTGTATTCATCTTTCAGTTACTTTAGTTACAGATTAGTATTTTGAATTTTAAATAGTTGTGATGGAAGCAAGCAATGCCAAACGTGGTCGATGTGCAGTGTGCATCAATGAGAATAAAAATTGCACCAAAAGCTGCGAATTTGCTGCCTATTTTCCGATTGAAGTGTATTTAGTTTTTTTTAAATTTGTGCTAACGATTTTCTTTTGACACATTGTTTTATTCTTAGCATCATTATTAAAATGATTTCAATCTATTTCTTTTGTAGGCTAGGTGACTTCGAAAGTGCTCATGAACTGTTTGATACGTTCAGCATAGTGAGAATGATGAAAATAACCCCTGAAGGAGAAAAACATATGTTGGCATCTACCATACTCATAGAAAGTGTTGCATGGACAAAATATAAAGTTCGTGGTGAGTTTGGAAAGCTACGAAAGCTCTTTTGGGAGATTCAATCACGCAAGGCATTTCTTGATGAAGTGAATGAGAGGATTAAGAATGAAAAAAAGAAAAAACCAACTAAGTCACCTTTGAATCGATGATATAATATATCAAATGTCATTTATCTGTCTTTTTATTTTAATAAAAATTACTCAATGTTGAATCATATCAATACTGAAAATTTGAAATGAATGGTTAAGAAGAAATTTTCAATCTAATTTCGTGATAATGATAGTTGTCCTGGTTTTTATTATTTATGCATTTTAATGATCATAAATTAAAGGGGCAATGACTAAAACAATATTTTATTATGTCTTAATGATAACAACCTCCTCCTATTTTTTTCAAGTGAAAATAGTTGTGTACCTATTTTACCCTCATTTATTTGTATTCGAAAAACGATATTTATAAGATTGCCATTAATAAAAGTTTGCCACGTCAGCATTCGCGAAATAAAAACTCTACTGAACAAATGATGGTAGATTTAGTCACCAGCGGTAAATATATTTGTCAACATGGTAGATTTAGTCTCGAATGGTAGATTTATTGTTTGCGTGATAGAGTTATTAGTGGACCGGTAGAGTTATGTTTCATCAATTGGTGGTAGAGTTATTTAGCAACGGTAGAGTTAAAAATAGAATGGTAGATTTATTTTAATGTGATGAAAGAGTTACGTTTGTTTGGTAGAGTTACGTATTGCATGGTAGAGTTATCTATCGGGGTTGATAGATTTATTTTTCTTCGTGATAGATTTATTTTGCAACGATAGAGTTATTTGTATTGATGATAGACATATAGTCATGGTAGATTTACTGCCAATGATAGTAGACAAATGTTGGTGCGATAGATTTTTTTTTTACGGTAGATTATCGTATTTTCTGGTAGAGTTATTGCTAATGATGGTAGATTTGGCAACACCTGAAATATAGAAAACATAATTTCATACGGATTTTCTATGACTAATGATGGTAGATTAATGTTCAGATGGTAGACTTGTTGTAAAATGTGGGTGTGAGCTGTAGATTTATTATTGTCTATCTCATTTCATGTATAGATTTTAAACCAGTTTTAGGGTTTAGAGTTTGAATACTCTAACGCATATGTTTTAAGGATTAGGGATCTTTGTAAATCAATTTCGCATAAACAAATGTCACTTTAGTATTTACGGTTTAGGATTTGAATACTCTATGCGTTTGAATACTCTTAAGTGACATATTTTTGGCATCAAATCAATATGTTCTTTAGGGTTTAGAGTTTGAATACTCTTAGAGATTTGAATACTATTATGTGATAAAGTCCAAATAACACATATAGAAGATTAATTATTTGGGTTTCTCTAACTATTTTGAGTTTAGGGTTTACGGTTTAGGGTTTGAATACTCTATGCATTTTAGTACTCTTATGTGGCATATTGTTGGCATCAAATCAATATGTTTTAGGGTTTAGGCATGAAATAAATATGTTCTTTAGGGTTTCGGGTGTGAATCTATACTATATAAAAGTTGAGGCTATAAACCATTGAGGGCGTCAACATAAGATTTTAAAACACAATTTTATTGGTCCACATAAGCCTTTTTAAGATGAAGAAATTTTCCTAATTCTAAGCAACCAATAATATCGTTCCACATCATCATCTAAAATTAAGAAATTTTCCAATTTTAAACAACCAATAGTGTTAATCTATATCATCATATAAAATTAGCTATATTTATTAAATTAGTTAATTTTATTTCGTATGTTTAAGAAAATTAATTATATACCATATAACAGTTGATGCTATAAGCCATTGAGGGTGTTCACATAGGATTTTAAAACACAATTTTATTGATCCACATAAGCCTTTTTAAGATGAAGAAATTTTCCTAATTCTAAGCAACTAATAGTATCATTCCACATCATCATCTAAAATTAAGAAATATTCCAATTTTAAACAACCAATAATATTAATCTATATCATCATATAAAATTAGCTATATTTATTAAATTAGTTAATTTTATTTCGTATGTCTAAGAAAATTAATTAATATAATATGTTTAAATTAGAAACTCCACAAGTAATTAAATTAATATTTTTAATATAAAATTTGAGGCTAACCCTCTAGGATGTCCACATAAGATTATAAACTGCATCTTATTGATCCATATATACATTTATATAATTATGAAATTTTTCTACTTTTAAACAGCCAATAGTATTAATCTAATAGTATTAATCTGTATCATCATCTATTTTTTTCTTTCAAATTTTAAACAATTAATCTATATCATCATCTAAAATTAGTTATATTTTAAAAATTAATTAATATCTTTTATGTTCAGTAAAATAAATTGATATAACCGATTTAAATTAGAAATTCCACATGTTCAAAGTAACTAAATTAAACAAAAAATTGTTAAAAAAAAAATAATTTACTAAAAGTATCAATCTATATAATCATCTAAATTTGCTTTTCTTTCAAATTTTAAACAATGAATAGATTAATCTATAACATAATCTAAAATTAGCTATATTTTTAAACTTAATTAATTTTTTTTAAGGGTTTTTGCAATTCTAACCCACAATTTGTGGTCAATAGCAAAAGTAACCTGCTGTATTTTTCATTTTGGCTTTACCCAGTTTTTTTCCATATAATAACGAAAATGACATTACTTTTATGCTATGTTCAAAACATCGGAAATCATTCATCAGCCGGTTGGTATGGAATTAGCGATTTTTGAAAAATCGGAATTAAATTGAGGATTACTGGGGGCGGAAATTTTATCATATTTTATATATTTTTAAAACATTTTCACATATATAACTAAAACATTATCTATTATGGAGGTTTTTTTTTTCAAAATATTATCATTTATACAAAATATGATAAATTAAAAATTTATATGGGTAAGATTTTGGGAGTTGACAATACATTGAAATCTGTTTTACAAATATGAGAGCAAGTGCAGCGTAGAGCTCTTTAAACTTACTTTATAATAAAAAAAATTAATATTTTCAGTTTAGAGTTTTGATAAGAATTCTGAAAATTTAGCCTCCACAATGGAGAGCTCCATATGGGTTCTTTAAAATGTAATTTTTTTTTTCCAAGTGTTATAAACTCATCAGACATAATCAACACAAAGAAACAAAAGAAACAAGTCAAAACATGATATCGAATTGGATCTATTTGAGTATGATCATCCATGTCATCTTTTTTTGCTTCAACAAACTGAGAGTAGTTTTTCACAAGCTTTTGAATCCGCTCAGGATCTGCAAAGCATTTGTGATCTCGCTACATTGAGAATCAAACAAAGCTGATTAGCTGAAAAACATAATAACAAACAGACACTGCAAGCATAAGAACATAAAAACTTACCCGATCTGCAACTAGAAAAATGAATCACCAAGATTGCTTTCTTTTCAATTCTCAGCATGATTAACTATCTGCAGTTTTTAAGTAAGATGCAATTAAACAAAGAGGACAAGTTCTATGACCATCAAGGGACAGAGAAGCTATGAGGAGCCTCACCTCGGACAAATGGATATGTCCATAATCTCTCGCATGCTCTAAGGTTACCGAATCATCAAGAACTGTGCTCTGCGCAAGAAGGAAATAGAGACAATAAAGTTTCGTCGTAATTACAAATCCATGATTATGTAAAGAACTATCACCATCGAAGACCTCTTCTCGACTAATACATCATGCACAAACTTTGATTAAAAACCATTTGGAATGTAAGAGTGTTGACAGTAAACCACAAGAAGTTTGATCCAAGTTTCCAACATATAATCTGCTCTCATTCTTTTCATCTACAAACCCATTTGTATCCTGAAGCATATATGCAAGAAAAAAAAGTAGTTAGAAGATGACACAAATTAGCATAACAGAGAAATAGCAAACAAGATAACTGAAGAGTAAAGATATACAAGCGAAGAAAATCGAAACGCAGCTCAAATATCAACGAATTCCAAAGCTAAAATGATCTTACGATATCTGCATCTGAACAAAAACGAAGGTAAAAATCTGGGAGACAATTGAATTTCAATCAAATATGCAAGGAGGCAGAGAGAGATCCCGATAGGATTTGATTCCAACAGTTTCATCCGAGTCTAAAGTAGACTGCACACGACTACAAGCAAACGATTTAAACACACAGATGCAAGAGTAAGATGAAGGCAAGGGAGAAAGTTACGAATCAATTACATCCAGTGATGTTTCCGAGATGAGGGACATCGAAATTGCAAGCGTCACCGTTGATGAAGAAGAAACGTCGTCACAAAGAGAAACAGAGGAGGGAGAAGGAGAAGAAGAACGTCGAACAAGAAGGAATCGGAGATCAAAGAGGAAGGATTTGGAGTGGAGCAGAAGTTGAGATCGCAGAAGATCTTCACCGGGAAAACGAAGAAAAATAATTTCGAAGAACAAAAAGAAAATAATAATGCCGACAATTATTTTTCCGCAGAGCTTTCTCCTGCTGACAGCTGGCTAGTAGAGACGTCTCCACAGTCTCTCCAGGGAGAGACGGATCTGGGCCTCAAACTTGCCATGTGTGTATTTATTTTCCTTTTTTCATTATTTTTATGTTGTAGATACGCCCATAAACTTTCCGCTGCACTTGCTTTCACACAGTTATTTATTATGTAATCCTCAATATTTCTCAAAATTGCATTTTTGACCCTGCTCCTATTCAGATCTCTTCTTCCTCCCAACTCCATCGTGTACAACGAACGACGCCATTAACGTCTTTGCCAGAAATCATGCGGTAGCAATCTTCCACTGCTCGTGTCCAACCCATCTCCACTGTCTTTGCAATCGCCGTCGTCATCGTCTATGTTTCTCCGGCGGATAATCTTCGACCAGTCAGGCGCAACGACGACGCTGCACAACGACGACACGATGCCGGAAGACGACGTCACCACTGATAGACATTAGCCTAAGTGCGTTTGAACAAAAAACATTGCCGATTTTGGTTAATCCCACGGTTGCTTGCCGTTGCCGTTTTTTCAACCGAATTAATCTCTAAAAACGCCGATTTTTAGAACTCTTCTGTGGTCTACGACGGAGGTCTACGTTTTCGACCAGAAGACCAACAGAACCTCATCCTCTACGCTTATTCACGAAACTGCCGCTCTCATCAATGAACTCAACCACCATTTTCAACCAACTCCAAGCTTTTAATTCTTCATACTCATAATTGTGATACTCCAAACATAACTGCCCATCCCATGAAAGCGGAGACAAAGAAGAGATTTCGAGAATTAATTATATTATGTATAGAATAAAATGGAACCATAAAAGCAAATCGATGTCGTAAATAAAATATTTGCATGCATTATAGCAGTTGATGTTATGAATGAGAAAGAAGATCATGTAACAAAGTCTATTGCATTGTAGACACAAAGAAATGATTTGGCCAAATCGAAAAGAAACAATAGACACATAACTAAAAATCTCTTGGAACAGAGAACTATTTGGACCAGAAGTCCTTATATACACCTAAAAAGTGTAAAACAAGTAGGTTATAAATATGCATAAATAGGCATATCACACAGAGGTTGTGGAGCATGTATGTGGAATGGCGACACTACAGATGGGTGAATATGTGCCTAATGTGTCGAATGGAGTGGATACGTATAGTGTTAGGGAGCCAATTGGTGTTTGTGCTGGCATTTGTCCCTTCAACTTCCCAGCTATGATTCCTTTATGGGTAACATGCTTAAGCCTTTTTACATTAGTTCTTATATGGATTCGTTTACGTTCAACATGTATTACATATGTATATCCGTAATTCTTATTTTTTCTCCTCTGTGAAGTCTTGAGTACTTATTCTGTGTTTGTTAGTGCAGATGTTTCCCGTTGTTGTGACATGTGGTAATACCTTTGTTCTGAAGCCATCAGAGAAGGATCCTGGTAAGTTTCTCAGTAAATAATGGACGCTCCTGTGATGTTTAGTTGATATATCGGAAGTTCAATGTATGAAAACTTTGGATCATGGCTTTACATATCATTGATGCCAGTTTGCATACATCTTACTATCTAGGCCAATGTGATGAGCTGATTGCTCTTAGATCTATCACATTTTAAAAAATGTTATTGGTTGACTGTTGATTAACTATCGCAATCAAAGTTCCTTCTGTTGATGTTGTATGCTATTTGTGAAACCGGCTGACAGTACTTGCTTTCACCAGTGCTTCTGTAATGCTTGCTGAGTTGGCAATGGAAGCTGGATGACCTGATGGAGTTCTCAATATCGTTCACGGCACCAATGTATGTTTTGTTTTAAGTTTCTTCTCTTGCTCATGTTTTCTATTTGTAAGGATTTGAACTATTGCAGTTATGGCCTTAAGTCTGCACTATTACCTTTTCGTTCTTTGTCGTTAATATAACTGCATCTTACATTCCAGGATACTGTGAATGCTATCTGTGATCACGAGGATATAAGGGCTGTTTCTTTTGTTGGCTCAAACACTGCAAGTATTTTTATTTTTGTTTCTACTTCTTTGTCTGAACACTTGGTTTTGTGTTTCATTTTCATGTTACTTGATTTTGCTTGTATCATTCATGAGAAATGTTATTACTTCGTATCATACTTGTGAGAAGAATCATAAGAGTTTTAACTTCGATGCAGTCTGTGAATTTCCAACGAGAATGGCAACTCCTGCAAGAAAGAGACTAATGTGGGACTTCAAGAGACTGCAGAAAGACCCACCCGTTGGGATAAGTGGAGCTCCACAAGATTACAATATCATGCATTGGAATGCTCTCATCTTTGGGTACGAATCTTGAACCATTTTTGTGTATGTTTCTGTGTTTTTGTTTGTCTTGGCTGCGTAAACTAAATTTCACTGTCTTTTCCTTTGCAGACCTGACGACAGTCCATGGGATGGAGGTAAGATCTTTCTATACTTATTTTAGCTTATGAGTTCAAAACTAATAGCTAAACTAAACCCAAATTTGTAACTTGTCAGGTACTTTCAAGTTGACTATTCAGTTCACCGAGGACTATCCAAACAAACTTCCAGTAGTCCGGTTTGTTTCAAGGATGTTTCATCCAAACAGTAAGCTCAACAATCATTCAATGGACAACATAGTCAAAGACCTTTACACGAGTAGTTTCGGGTTTGATATTTGAAGTTTTGATGCAGTTTACGCTGATGGAAGCATTTGCTTGGATATCTTACAAAACCAATGGAGCCCAATATACGACGTTGCTGCAATTCTCACGTCGATACAGGTTTTGTTTTGACTTCTGAATCTTTTTGCATTGTAGGGTTATGCTATGCTATGCACAAACTAACTCCAAGACTTTCATTTTGTTTTGGTGTTTGTGCAATACAGTCTCTGCTTTGTGACCCAAACCCTAATTCGCCAGCAAACTCGGAGGCTGCAAGGTTGTTCAGTGAGAACAAGCGAGAGTATAACAGGAAAGTAATGGAGGTCGTGGAGCAAGAGCTATGTATAATATGATTCAGCGTTTGGATTTGTCCTTCTTATTTCACAATTTTTTGGGGTTCTCGATCTCATCAGCGGGGATTTCCATACGAATGTCTCAGCTCAATATTGCTATGAAGAAGAATTCGATGAGGAAGAACAAGAAATTGGTAGTAAATATCGCTCCAAAAAACGAAGCTCTTGCTTCAAGGTCGGTGGAAGCTGACCATGATCTCGGTTCCTCAAGAGATGAGGATCAAAGCAAAATTGAATCATCAGAGAGACGAAGAGACGTGTTTCACAAGGTTTGTTCCATTGATGAAGATGAGGCAATTGATGATGTTAGAGATGAGTGATGCGTGAGGTTGAGGTTGGTACAGGTTTATCAGGCGCATTAAAGCGTCTCAGAGAGCAAGGAACTTTCAAGGAGAAGAAAGGCAAGCTTGTTGTAGGAGGTGTTACGGACAATTATGGAGATGACAGATTCAGAGATGCTTTTAAGGACATTCGGATTGAGAGAGTGGATGAGCATGGCAGGATGTTGACTGAGAGAAGCGTTTCGGTTACTGTGTCACGGATTCCATGGGAAGAAACCTGGGAAGAGGAAGGTAGAAAACGGAATAGGAAACACCAAGATCAGTCGAAGCAGATGGAATCTTCAGAAAGAGCTGTGGAAAAATGAGACAACTTCATGCCGGTTTAAAGACTCCTTACGTTGTTCTCTTATTTTCTGATTCTTGAATATTTTCTTTGCATGCTTTTACATTGGTTTCACCTATATTTCTATTTCTTTTCACTATGAATTAACGTTCTCTTTTTTTTTGCACTTCTCTTTGATTTTTCTGTTTTCGGCTGTATCAGGGAAATATAATCAATGCATGAGAGCCTTAATGATAACTTTAGCGATTTCCCTAAGAGCCTTCTCAACTGTGGAAGCTGTTAGGACTTATGTGTTATCAAAGGCATGGATGAAAATGTGGACCAACGTCACAGCCGTACACTTTGAATATGTAAGTCATAAGGAACTGAGAGATTATGGATTTGTACAGCCGTACAATTCGTTGACCGTGTGATTCGTGACATTGAAAGTCCGGAAATCAGCAGTTTCCATCTAAATTCTGTTAACTCTTACGATGAGACTGATCCTCTCCTCTCGTGGTTATCAAAGGTTATAGACTGAAATCTTGAGAAACTTGTCATCACTTGGTACCAGCTTGAAAGCGTCAAATCTTGAGAAGGTCTTTTAGCTTTTGGTACCACGTACCGAATCATCGTGTAGTGTGTACGATCAGTCTATTAGCTACAAATCTTGAGAAGGTCACATTCTCGGGTCACGGCTCACAAGAGATGCTTCTGTCTTTCCCACGTTATTTACCTGATGCTTATCTTTCTCTCAGCGGACCATTGTGACCAGATCCACACAGTGGCCCAAGTAGCTTCTGCATAGCTTCACATGCGTCAAGAGTTTTGATCTTGAGGTTAGTTACATACGTACATTGCATTTACATCATTGAGGAAGCTAAAGAAAATATCTTGTCTTATCCCAAAGTCTCAAGTTGAAAATCTGAAGATCACAAATGCTTATATATGCAAATAAATTATGTTCCGATAAGATAGTGTTAAACAAAATTTCAAAATAATAATAATAATAATAATAATAATAATAATAATAATAATAATAATAATATCTTTTATATTACAAATTCTTTCATCTAAATTTAACAACAAACTTTGAATAAACATAGAAACCAATTTGATTTGGATTTCATTACTGTGTTCTTTAAATGATATTAGATTATATGGATTGTGTTTTAAAGGAACAATATAAACATAGAATAAATGTAATAATTTTTTGATATAAGTAGAAACATATTTATAATATACATAATCCGCGCATCGCACGGGTTTAGCCCTTGTAAAACTTAAACTATAAATCTAAGCACAAAACATATAATCTAATCCATAAATCCTAAACCCAAAATTATCAAATCTAATTGAGAGAAAGAACCATTTGTTTTGTTCCATATAGACAAAGAAAATGGTATAGATTTTGATTTTCACCAAAAATATATAAGCTATATTCTAGCCAAAGAATTGTTATGGTTAGTTTCTAAATTATGGCTGAGAATGTGATTAGGAAATCTTTTAATTAAATTTTCATTTTGCATGTTTTAAAAGCTATAAAGAATAGGACACGCATTTTTTCTTGTTTATCACGTATACTTGATTTCTCTCATCATAAATAAGGAAAAAAAGCCCGCAATAAAGGAAAAAAAGGGGAAATAAAAAGGAACTTCCCGTACCAAATTGAGACTCGTTCTTTTGGCGATCGATAAACGTCTTCAGGGGACGAATTAGGTTTTGCAGCCAACTCTGAGGATTAGGGTTTCGCTCTCCGTCAATTGATATCATAATCTCTGAAGTTGAGTTACAATTCCAGTCGTCGTGGAATCTCTGGTGTATTCGAAGAATCGAGATCACTAATCCGGAGAAGAAGACCCTCGATTTCGCAGAAGAGATGCATTCGATAGTTCAGGTACGAGAATCGGGTACGCATGTAGATCTGTATAAGCATAGTGAAGAAGATGTCGCTACGGAGGAAACTATATCTCGCGTTGCTGTTAAATTTACATTCAGTAACCCAAAGAAAACTTTTAGGAAGAGAAGCAGGGAATCGGAAAAAGCCGATGACAGTGTTTTGCGGAAGCGTGAGATAACGAGCTTAAGGATAGCCTCGAGACGAGAGTATCTGAAGAAGAGGGAGAAGAAGAAGGTGGAGGAGTTAAAGGACGAGATAGATTTTGAGCTTTCACGGTTTGATGGTGTGAAGCTCACGGAGGAAGAAGAAATCGAGTTGAGATTCAAGAAAGAATTGTATGATCTGTTGAAGAAAACAGAGGATGATGATGATAATGTTTCCAGTGGTTATTATAGAATCCCGGATGCTTATGATCGAGAAGGTGTTATTGATCAGAAGAAGAGATTTGCTGCGGCGACGCGGCGAGATAGTGAGAGCAAGAGAGGCAAGAAGACGGAGCAAGAAGCTTGGGAGGATCATCAGGCTGAGAAAGCAACAGTGAGGTTTGGTGCAAAGAACAAGAAGCAAGCGACTGATGGGTATGAGTTTGTGTTTGGCGACTATGTTGAGACATCTAGTGAGATGGAAACTGAGGAACAACGAGGTTGTGACTCGAGAACAGTTGCGGAAAAGGCCAAGGAAGGTAGGAAATTTCTTCCGATATATGCATATAGAGATGAATTGCTGGAACTCATTGAAGAGAATCAGGTTCTTGTGATAGTTGGAGAGACGGGATCGGGTAAGACGACGCAGATACCGCAGTATCTTCAAGAAGTCGGTTACACGAAGCGTGGGAAGATCGGTTGCACACAGCCTCGGAGAGTTGCTGCAATGAGCGTTGCTTCTCGAGTGGCTCAAGAACTTGGTGTAAAACTCGGTCATGAGGTTGGATATTCCATCAGATTCGAGGACTGTACTTCGGAGAAAACAGTGATCAAGTACATGACTGATGGGATGCTGTTGCGAGAGCTGCTCATAGAACCGAAACTCGATAGCTACAGTGTCATCATGATTGATGAGGCTCACGAAAGGACGCTGTGCACTGATATCCTGTTTGGGTTAGTGAAGGATTTAGCAATGGTAAGGCCTGATCTGAGGCTGATAATCTCCAGTGCAACGCTTGAAGCTCAAAAGTTCTCTGAGTATTTTGACTCTGCTCTTATTTACATGATTCCGGGAAGAAGATATCCAGTTGAGAAGCTCTTCAGCAAATGGCCTGAACCTGACCGGTTGGAGACAGCGGTGCGCACTGTGTTTCAGATCCATCAGACTGAGCCACTTGGAGACATTTTGGTGTTCCTCACCGGTCAAGAAGAAATTGAAACAGCAGAAACGAAGCTGAAGCTGAGGATGATTGATATGGGTACAAAGAGCTCTGAGATCATTATCTGTCCTATCTACTCAAATCTTCCGACTGAACTACAGGCAAAAGTGTTTGAACCGGCGCCGAAAGGGACGCGGAAAGTTGTCCTGGCGACGAACATCGCAGAAACGTCGCTAACCATTGATGGAATCCGGTACGTGGTTGATCCTGGGTACTGCAAGATCAACTCGTACAACCCAAGAACTGGAATGGAGTCACTTCTTGAAACTCCAATCTCCAAGGCTTCCGCAGAGCAACGAGCTGGTCGGTCTGGAAGAACGGGTCCGGGGAAGTGTTTCAGGCTGTACAACGTCAAGGACTTGAACGCCACCACAACACCGGAAGTCCAAAGAGCTAACCTCGCAAGTGTGGTGCTTACTCTGAAAAGTCTTGGGATTCAAGATGTGTTCACTTTTGATTTCATGGATCCTCCACCTGAAGACGCTCTTTATAAGGCTCTGGAGTTGCTATATGCTCTGGGTGCTTTGGATGGAAAGAGTGAGATTACTAAGCTAGGAGAAAGAATGGTGGAGTTTCCGGTTGATCCAATGCTCTCGAAGATGATTGTTGGTTCGGAAAAGTACAAGTGCTCTGAAGAGATAATCACCATAGCCGCCATGTTGTCTACAGGGAACTCCATCTTCTATCGGCCTAAGAAGCAGCAGTATATTGCAGACAGTGCCCGGATGATTTTCTACACAGAGAACGTCGGCGACCACATTGCGTTGTTAAGGGTTTACAACTCATGGAAGGAAACAAACTACTCGAGTCAATGGTGCTACGAGAACTTTATCCAGAGCAAGAGTATGAGAAGAGCTAGAGACATACGTGAACAGCTAGCTGGGCTTGTGAGGAAGATTGGAGTTGAGCTTACTTCAAACCCGAACGATCTTGACGCGATCAAGAAGGCGATCCTTGCGGGGTTCTTCCCTCATACTGCAAAGTTGCAGAAGGACGAGTCGTACAGGAGAGTGAAAGAGCCTCAGACGGTTTACGTGCATCCTAGCTCGGGCTTGTTCGGGGAGTCCCTTAGCAAGTGGCTGGTGTATCATGAACTAGTTCTTACTAGCAGGGAGTATATGAGGCATGTGACCGAGATGAAGCCCGAGTGGCTAGTTGAAATAGCTCCTCATTACTACGAGCTTAAAGACATTGAAGAGACTCGGCCGAAGAAGACACATAGGAGCAGCAGAAGTTCCACCATATCAAAGGTCGATACTAAGAAGAAACCAAAGAGCCAAAGAGGTAACAAAAACAAAACTTAGTAATCTTCTCTTTACTTTTTCTGAAGGAAGCTACAAAAAAAAAAAAAAAAAAAAAAAAAAAAGATTGTGATCTACTATTGCTTTTTCATCTGAAAGATTCTTATATATCAGTTTCTGATGATTACTAGTACTAATTACTGTTTCTTTCTATTGTATACATCCATGATTCTGTGTTTTCTCGAGTATTAACTGGAGACTAGACGACTGATAAAAAAGACTGAAGTACATCAAGTGAGAGAGAAACTCACCGGGATTGTCATCGGGGAAGAAGCCGTGGAGAACCACATGGACATTCCTCCGGTGGGATTCATCAAGGTTTATTATAATCTTCTTTGTTAATTCAGAAAAAAAAAAAAAAAAAGTTTACAATTGAGCATTGACTGAATATACAACAAGAGAAGATGAAAAAAAACGACAAAAAGATAACCAAACACTAATTCCCGCTAATACAGGACATGACTTATTTGCTATGGCCAATGTTTGTAGTTTCAAGTTCAACACTAGTGTCGATAACCTCAACAGCAAATACTCGATGGAGAAGATTCCGGATGCTATCCACCCATGATTGCTTATCAGCGCTGTTCTTGCACTTGAACTTTGTTAGACCTTTCCCTGTACTGATTCCGAAATAGAGCTCTGCGTTTTCTGTTTCTTTTCCATTTTGCAGGACCGAGACTGTCTCGCATACATCATTCACAATGCCTGTAGTGATTTTCCACCAGTGGATTATACAAATGAATACCATGATTTCTGAGGCAAACAAGAGTTTAACTGAGGGTGATTATAGTTAATCAACAACAACTACCTTTGCTTTTCATGGAGAAGGCTCCTCCAACGTGTTTGCTTTTGATTTCTACTACGACCTGCAAAAAAAAGAGAAAACTCCAGAATTTGACAACCATATAAGTTTGTTTTGCTTCGATTGTGTATTCGAGTTTTAACCTGAGAATTCTTGTTCATGTACACTTTTACATGTTTCCACCGCAGAGCTCCTGGAAGATCCATTGTACAAAGGTTGAAGGAATATTCACTTTCTTGAAAAGCTTAACAAATTCAATATCTTGCTGAAGTACTTACCATTTCGTGTGCACTGCATTAGCTCTCCAGTACATGGCAAATCTGATTCTTCGACTCCCTGTTCATCGGTTGTGCTTGCGCAATCGTTAGTTTCAGAAGAGCAATCGCTAGTTTCTGGTAAAGCTCTTTCGCTTGGGCTTATAGCTGCATTGTTCTTTGCTTCCTTTGGTAGTCTTGCCCTCAAAGCTGCTTCTCCTCTCAATGCTACACTCACCCAATAAAAAAGCATTGCAAGAGAAAGACTTTGGAATGATATCAAAGAGCGAACAAGAGACTGCTGAAAGTGAAGTCAATTTAATCAATTTACCAGTTGCAGCTGCAGCAGTTAGAGTCAATAAATCGCCTGGTCCACGAACATCGACGGCGGATCGTACAGCAGAGACGACGCGATCGTGACCGGCGCCGGAGAGCTCCGCTAATTCTATGCAGTGAGAAGCTAACAGCTCCGACGCAGAGGCCAGCGCTGAGATCATCTTTAATGATCCCCTGAAGCCGTCTTGGTTTCCCGAAGCAGTTACGGCGGCGATGGCCGTGGCCAGTGACGCAATGGAGACGGCGGTGTGCAGGTGCGCGTTCTCCACGCGAGCCTTATCTCTCTTCCTTACGCCGGAGACTTTTCCGCCGGCTAATTCTCGGTTGTGGAACCATTTTCCGATCTTTCCCGTTCTTCGCGCGTTAACCACACTCGCGAGCTTACCCGTCTGTCAAAGAAACAGTTAAATTAAATTCTTGTGGGCTTTTTTTTATTAGTTTGGGCCTATAAGATAATATTGTCTCCTTGTTACAGTTTTCGTATTCTTTTATGACATTGCTTCACTCAAAAACGATACTTGTCTCCAGTATGCAATTATTCATTTGATTATTAGTTAGAATATATAAAATTCAATTTTACTAACGTGCATATTATATCTGAAAAAGATTGCTACTTTGAAAATCCAATTTTATAAATATTTTTCAAGTACTCACATCTAAAATATCTAGTAGTATCATAACAGATCATATCAAATCATAAACACGTTAAAGACGAAAATGAAAGCATAAGGCAGCTTACGAGTAGCGGCGGAGGTGGTGGTGCCGGAACCTTCGAAGAGACGGCGACCAACTGAGAATTTTTAGGGTTTTTGTTGATTTGTTTATTAGATTTCTGAGACGATAAAGCTAAAGAGATCTCAGACGTAGAAATGCTCCATGATCTGCATAGAAACTCCATCGGCTCTCTCGGAGTTTCAGGCTGAGGAGGGACCGGAGGATACGTCGCCGAAGACGACGAACACTCTGACGTCTCGTTTTCCAGCGCCGATGACAACGTCACGCTCTCGTTATCGTCATCTTCCTCGATTTCTTCTTCTTCCTCTACTACTTCTTGTAGACCGTAGGGAATCAAGTTTAACGTACGGTCATGATCCATTTTAGCGCAGATCTCTCTGTTGGTGAAAATATTAGATCACTTGCGCACGGTATTAAATCTCTTTTTATATGTTTGTGTGTATGTGATGCTATCTTATATCACTATATTTATATGCACACACACACACCATGTTTGGTGTATATATAGAGTATGAGAGAGAGAGAGAGAGATGGCTCTACACTAAAGAGTCAAAGAGAACATCTTTGACAAGGCAAGTTTTAATGCAAGACGTGGATCTTGTCCTTATTTTATTTTGATGAAGTATTTGCTTTTCAAATAATTAGAAAATCATGACCATTTCGAGATTATGGTCTATTCTTTTCTATTTGTTAAAGATGACCACATATTTATTGTTGTTTAAAACATTATCCCTCTACTAAGAATTTGTTAAGAGTTTTTTTTATTTTTGTTTTGTCTAAAAATAATTCTATTTTTCATATGTTTTTCGTATATATAGATGTATACACATAGAAACATTTTATTAAAAGCTTGATTGGTTCACCCACTGCCATCCGCAAACACAACTTTTGCAAGTGGTAGCGGTTGTTAATGTTTGATAACAATAACCGCAAATGTTTTCTATCACTTCAAAACGTTCATAAACGCTCCAGATCCCTCATATATTTCCAACAGCGTTTGCGTTTGCTGGCGGTTGCGAGTGGAATTTTAAAAAATAAATACAAATTTATTTAAAATCAGCATATAAATATATATTATTAAAATTTAAGATTTGGACATTATATTTACAATATAAATAAATACGCATTTTTAGTGAATATTAATGAGTAAACAACAACTTTCTCACCATAACTCATTACTATAGTAGTTAACTACCATAATTTAGAAAATTACCCACCTACCTGTTAAAAGTTGTTCGTTACGGATATAGCGACTAGTATGAGACATTATAGTATGATCATATTAATTTTTAAATTGAATTTACAATGAAAGAAAAATAGATATACAGAATGATTGTTACACAAAGATTATATCATAAGTTCGATTTCAATCACATCGAAAGGAGACTTGCACATGGAATTTATATTGGATAGAAAATTGATTGATCAATCATCTTTTTGGATATATATACAAGATATACACACTATAATATGTAGCTGAATCAGTTAAATTAGTGGACACAAATCATCTTAAGGACGATTACTTATGAGTAATGAGTTATGGTGAGAAAGTAATTTCGAATAATCAAATTTTCAAACTACGATTTGTCTTATAAAAAAAGAAAAAAAATTGATGTGAAACCTTTGATAGGTGACACCTTGACAGTATTAATTCGTACGTAACTCATTCATCATCAATTGTAGCCACTTATTCATGCACCCACCAACCCACGTAAACAAAGACGACAATAACTAAAGTTCTGTACGTACCAATTAGCATAACGTGTTCATTATTTTGTTTTGTTTTGTATTTTTTGGGTTAAACCTCATGATTTTGTTGGTTGATACGTATGTTTCTTCAGTTTCTTTGTGAATGGTTAATTCATTGTCGTATATATAATATTGGTTTTCCTCATACGCTTTGCACCATTTTTATGTTTAATATTTGTGGTCGTGTTTTTTCGGTTAATACTTTGGTGGTTGCATTTTTCTTAAATAAATTTATTTTGGCAATGGTTATATATCATTTTTGGTTTTTGGATAAAATGGTGATAACATCATCTTCAAATTGTAACTTTATCTTAAATCAGTTCAATTCCAAACGAGATAAGTCATTGTCACTCTTTAAAATTGGAAGATAACCTGCATATTCTTTTATATTTAATGAAAGCTAACCTGCAAACTTTTAATAATTCTATGAGATACTGTTGTCTGGTCCCATATGATATGTAGTTTATACAAAAATTATTTTCTTAGTCAACTGAAAATTTTCATAAAAATAATAGTATAGTCATATGACCAATATAGCCAGTGTAATTCATTAACTTTTACGATATTCTTTTCTGTCTTTTGTTACAAAATTAAACTTTACAGTATACAGTAGAAACTCTATAAATTAATACTCGATAAATTAATAACTCAATAAATCAATAAAATTGTATGGTTCCAAATTAAGTTTTTGATCTAATAATCTCTCGATAAATTAATATTTCGTTAAATTAATAAAATATCTTATGCCCGATATTATTAATTTATAGAGTTTATACTATATATAGTTCGTGTTAAGCATGAAAGCGGAATTCTTCTTTCTTAAGTTTGAGATACCTTACTGTACATACATTACCAAACGGTTTTAGCTGATCTATTAACCTAAAAGAACCTTTTCCATATAATTATTTTGGAAATGAAAAATAAATCAGTAAATTAAACGCAACTTCTAAATGAAGTTCGCTTTTGTTGGGTACGTTTATTATTGCGGAAAGTTATCATCTGAAAGAGAGAAGGAAGATGATCAATATCTTGCATGAGGAGGAATTAATTGTGTGTTTGTTTGGTACAAAGTCATTTCCGCTTCACATCAATTATGGCGGTGTTTATCGATTGAAACTGATAAGTCCCACCACATTTACATACCAATTCACAATTCTAATTTTAAATTTCGGATGCTTTTTAAGCTCGAATAATTTGTAAGAAAAGTCTTGCTTTAGTCTAATATTGGTTTTTTGAACAAAAAAAAAAAAAAAAGTCTAATATTGGTTCTAGATATTAGTAGTACACATAGACCTTTTCTTTTGACCCAAATGTATATTATTTTTGTTTGATTGAATTGGAAATGAAATAAGTGGGTGTACGTGAGCTGTAGTGTCAAGTGAAGCACAAGTTGAACGACATCCTCCACCTGATTTCAATGTGTTTATTATGTTATGTGTCTTTTCTTTCTTCTTATATCCTATCTCTCACGCGCTTTTAATCATCACTTCACACCGACACTTCATTTATTTTCTATTATTAGTTTCTATATCTTCCTCCCACTAATTTTTGGTTTGTTTTGTCTCCGCAAGTACAAATGTTAAACATAACTAATTGTCTAATCGTGGAAGCCCCCTTCAAGTGGTTGGCTAAAGGTTTATTAATGGCTTCTCTATCAAAATACTTGGGTTTCAATTTAATACAATTTCTGCATGTTATTAGAAAGAAGGTTTGTATAAAGAAGGCAAAAACAGATAAGAAAAATTTTCAGAACTGTGCAATAGTTAATTATTTGTTAATAATTGTCCTTTTTAATTGCCTTTTTAGACGTTATATAAAAAAACTAGTGTCTAATGGTGTTTGGATTTTTTTATTTTTATTAATGCATAAGATGCTACTTCTTAAATATTAACCAACGGACATATTAATTGATACTCTCTCCTTTTCATAATAAGTGTCATTTAAGCAAAATGAGAATTCAATGTATTTGGATGTATTGAACTCAAAATAACACTTTTTATTATCCAAATATATCCAATTATTATCTAGATACATTTTCAATAAGTGTCTCTTCAAATGACACTTAACAGAGGGAATGAATATCACAAGCTGTTAACACATGTGACATGTGTACAAAACCTAGCTACACTGAATAAGTGTTAATTTCTTTTGATAACCAGATAGGGTTTCTCTAATCGAAAAGAGAGACGAAGAAGATTGGAAGCCCGTGGAGATAGAACTCATTAGATACTAGATAGAACCAATTAGCCCGTGGAGATACAACTATCGCTCGTTGAACACGTGGACATATATAACTAGTGTGACTTTTGTGATGCAGAGAAATCAATGTCGATGGCAATGAAATAAATCTGCATTCACAATTATTTTTGCAAAATAAATTTCAAGAAAATAGCTAGAACGATGGCATTCAACCATTAACGAATAGTATCTCAATCCCAAATAAATTATACACTCCACGTAACCACGTTCGTCCGTCGTCTTCACGTAGCAGTAAGGTAACCCAAAAAAAACTAGATCCAATTAGTGTAGTCAACCTAGCCCTAGGCACGGAGCAAATACTAGGCAAAAAACAGGTATCCGTGATCCGATCCGATCCGTCCGGATATTTGATTTTCTGATCCGATCCGATCCGAAAATTTTCGGATATCCGAAAATCCGGATATTCGTAACTTTGTTTAATATCCGCGGATTATCCGCTCCGATCCGTTTGATCCGGATATCCGTAACTCTGTTTAATATCCGTGAATTATCCACTCCGTAAATATTTTAAAAAATATTTGTATTTAAAAAATTTCAGAAAAATCAATTTTTAACACAAAAATATAATTTTAATTAAAAAACTATTAGTAGTTTTTTTTTTAAGTGTTTAAATAATCAATTTAATGAATATAGATTTATAAAATTTAGATATAAACATAACAATCATCCAATTTATATATGTAATTTTATATATATAGATATATCTATATGTATAACGGAGCGGATCGGATATCCGGCTTTTAAAATTTCAGTATTTGTGATTTGCTCCGGTTTTAACGGATATTAATTTTTAGTATTTGCTTTGCTTTGTAAAATTACGGTTATCCGGATTTTTCGGATCGAATCGGAACGGAACGGATAACGGATCGAAGCAAATATAACGGATAATTTGCCCAGGCCTAAGTCAACCTACTCTATGGAAATATGGCGATTCCTTACCATTGACGTTTTGATGAAACTCACAAAATTGGACATAGCTGGATCAATTGGTGGGAGAAAGTGAACTGAAGAATAGGATAGTTGCATGTATGATGGATATATTTGGTCTTAGACACTAATGCCCCGATAAGAAGTAAGTAAGTTGTTGGAGAAAGTATCTCCAGAAACAACCAGCTACGTCGTTGCTCCTCCTACGCTAAGTATGCTATACTGCTATATAGGTATTGAAACAGGTTATTCATATGCTTAACTTGCTATACACCAACAGATCACAACATTGTCATATAACCATGTCGGAGATTTGTTTGTTTCCCAATGACTTCTCGGTTGCATCCATCTTTCCTTTAAGATGCTGCTTTTTATCTCTTGATTTTCCAGTGTGCTATCTTAAGCGATTCAGAAACTCGACTTTCCTTATATGTAGAGAGGATATAATTTAGGATCATAGTTCTTAAACAAAGTGATTGCATGAATATCCCATATACCAAGTGTTTCAGAGAGTTGATTCTTCTTCTATGAAGAAAGTCAGAAACATCGTATAAATCTAGGTTCGGAGTTCTTAATTTGACTTATAAAATTTTGGCCAATTATAGCATTTAATCACAGGTCTGTGATTTTTTTATAAATAGAAAATGCAAACGTTACTAAATTAGTTCCTAATTTCATGTACTAAGTGTTAGTTGTTTTATGGGAAATTGAAATAGGGGATCACTTTATAGGCTTAACATACAAAAGTTATTTATAAACATCTTCCTGCTACCTTTCATCACATCATTCTGTCAACCTTCGTTCTTGTGAGTGACTATATTTATGTTTATTTTGTTTGGGTTCTTTGTTGGTTCAGCAGAAGATTATCACAGGTTAAGCCTAATCTCTTCTATTAAACTACATTATGGAAGGTATATATCGTATGTTAATTGTATTTTTGGTTATTATATGTATTTCCATATGGTCTTTCAAGCCTGACAAGTAAGCTTAAGAATAATAAATCTTTGTGGACTTTTGTGACCATAAGCTAACTTAGATAACTTTATTTGTTGACGGCAATACAGATCATACATAGGCGCTTACAGAGGGAAACCCCATATTTCATTTAAATCTATTGAATTCTAACATTGGTTATATATGTAGACATCACTTTCCTTCTATTTTTTTTTTTTATTTATTTTTTTTTTTTGAATCGAATGTACAATTAATTCAAACAAAAAAAACATCGTTTTTTACAACATGTGCAGCTTAGAGTTGAAGAAATTGAAAGAGATTATACAGGGCCTTAACTTCTTGCTTCAAACCAAAGGTGGAGTGCATCTTCGTACTTTGAGTCTCCTAACGACCGTATCGACGAGATGCGGTTCCGGACAAGTTTATCGAGCGTCTTGATGAGATGGTTTGAGGAGAGAGGCTGCTCTCCGTGCCGCCGAGCGTTTCTTTCTCTCCAAACGGTATGTATTGTTGCCTGGAACACATACCTAGTGAGGAAGAGTGTAAGGTGAGGTAGAGCACTTCCGGAGATGATGGAGACAATGGATTGCCAAGTCTGAGAGTAGCACCGTTTAAGGAGTCCCTTCGTCAAGGCAGACCATACTTCAGCGGAGAAGCTACATGTAAAAAATAGATGATCTCTTGTCTCTAACGCATGCTGGCACAACACGCACGATGGATTAGCACCAACGTTCCAAGACAGCATTCGGTCGCCTGTGGCTAGCCGATCATTGACCGCAAGCCAAGCTAAGAACGTGAACTTCGGTGTAGCGTGCGTAAACCAAATTCCACGGTACCAGTCCTTAGTAGGCCCTGTATCTCTGAGCTGCGTCCATGTTTTCTTCGAGTGAAAAGAGGTCTTGTAGGTATTTGCTGCATGCTTCCACAAGGAAATGTCCTCTGTTTCCTGCACCGGCCGTGATCGATAATCCGCAAGAGTTGCTTCGATCAGGCGAAGATGCTCTGTTCGATGGTGTCGTCGTCGGGATGTTGAGAGAGCGTCAGCCACCGTAGCGTGTATGGGAATCCCCATGTCTATGAAGCCACGGGATCCCGTTATGTCAAACAGAGGACCCATTGGAGACCAATTATCAAACCAGAAAGAAGCTCTTTTGCCGTTTCGAATTACAACTTTATAGAAAGACTTTGCTCTTAACCTGTTTCCTTCTAAATTTACCTTCTCATAAAAATTATAGTAATTTCCGGTTCTCTGAACTTATACTCTGAATACTTTATTGGTCTGTTTTTCATGCTGTTATTGACTAATTGTCAGCTCGCAGGTGTTCAAAGCCAGTGTCAAGGGGAGGAGGAGGTGCAATGAAAGGGAGACGATGGAAGTGGTGAGGATGATTTTTTTTTTTTTTTTGAACAACTTGTGGTGAGGATGATCTAAATGGTGACTCTGGTGCTAAAATCATAACGAAAAAAGAATCCTAAAGAATTTTGACTTATATAGTGTTGACTCCCGTAAATGGTGACTCCGGTGTAAATGACCATGTATGAAGTTTAAGGTACCATTTTAAGAATGCTCTTACAATTTTGTAGACTTTTTTATATCATTGTATATTGTTTTATTTCTAAAATTTTGTCATCCACAAAACTTTATCCAATTATAGTGGGCCTGATTGGTTGTGTCTGTAGCTTTGAATTTTTTGCTGTAGAATTTAGGCTGTAGTTTTTTTTGTTATGTCTGTAGATTTTAGTGTTGTGGGATTTTTATGATAAATAATTTATTAAAAAATATCATAAATATGGCATTATTAAAAATAAATAAAAGAGATATAGGAAAGAAGCATGAAAAAAGGAATATAGAGAATGAGATTAAGGAAAGAGAAGAGAGAGAATTCGAGTCCTTAAATTTGTGCTCTGAAAAATCTGCTATGCAGAGCCAAAATATTTCCATAAATAAAATTAGGGCTTAAAAAATGAAATCAAAGCTTGATTGGTTTAACACTAGTGCTTTAGAAAAAATAATTACTCTATAGAGCACTCAGAGCACTTACCAATCACCCTTTTCATTTTCTTTCTGTAACCCAATACACTTCCGTTAATTAATCTTGTAAAGTAAAATAAGCTTTTGTTCGTAAAATCATGACACATTATTATTATGTTAATATTTACAATTCTATGAAATATGTATTTTGATTGAACACAACTATTTATTTTACTGTGATTTGTTTTGGAACTATATTGGCTAGATTTCGGTCTTTCATTTCCTTAGAATTCAATCTCCAAATATTACCCCATATATATAATTGATATTGCGCATGTGTTGATGCATAAAAAGTATAATTATGGGGATGATCGGTAGGAGCTGTGATTGCTCTCCAGAGCAAATCTTTTTTTGTTTTAATGTTGTATTTAATGCCGCAATCTACAATAAAAAATCTTACAATACTAAAATCTACAATCACAGCCAAAAATTATACGGCATAAATTCTACACCAAAAAGTTCAATGCTACAACCACAACCAATCAGACCCTGTAGTCTCACATTTTTATAACACTTACTTTGAAAGACAAAATGCAATTGATTCTATTTTGAAAATTAAAAATACGATTTTCTATTAAAGAAAAAATACGACCATTCATCTTATTTTCTTTTTCATACAATTAAGACTCAGGATTAAAAGACAGAAACTAAACAAGATGTCTGGCTTTTAGTCCAAAGAACCTTTTATTACAGAGAGCTCTTGTTGACCGCATGAAACTTTCCACCAAGCCATATAGATTTTTGCTCACCTCACAACGGATACCGATTCACATCTTTGTATAACAAATACCGAGACTTAGTCTTTCCGAGTGCAGCATACCTTGAAACAACAAACATTAGCTTAGAGTGTTTGGTCGGATAATCTTTCAAGTTATCAGTTCCACGAAAAAAATGTCCAATTCTTGCAAAAGTTTGATACATAGTAGAAGAAATTCAACTTATGGACAATCTCTTACCATTGAGGAACAAAAGGAGCCATCCATATGACATCACCAGCCTGAACTGGATACCTAATTAAAGAGAAAATCACATCAAAGTTATTAATACTTCTTATAGCATGTGGAATATAACGGTGATTACAGTTTTATTTTGGTAAAAATGCTTCTAACCACATTACATGACCACCGCAAGAAAACAAAAAAACTAATGTTCATAGTTGTTCATGTGAGTATGTGTTTGTGCAAGTGATCTACTTATATATAAATATATTTCCACAATTTAGATCTATAAGTAGAGTGTTGCATACCAGTTATCGCCCAAACGATATATGCCTTGGCCCTCGAGAAGCAACAAACCATGTTGGTTATAATGAACTTCCTGTTAACATTGCAAAATCATTTGAGAAGACTGAATGAATCTAAACAGAATAAGAACAGTAAATAAAAAAAAAAAGAAATTACGAGCAACAGATGGTATCAAGATCCCTACGGTAATGATGCTAAAACAGTTATGTACCTTAACATTGAGAAACTCCCCAGGCTGGAAATCCATAATCTGCATATGAAGGAAACAACAGTAATTAAACTTTAGAGAGATCTCAAGAAGCGAAAGGATTCATTAGATCAAACGTAGTACTTACATGGATGTTGAAGTTATAAGCAAGGGAGACCGGAAGAAGTTTCCGCAGCTCGAAAACCTGTAATAACAACAAAATGGGTTTTGACTTTTCAGAGATGACTAATGTACGATCTTAGAAAAATCGAGAATTGTTTTACACACTTACCTCACCGGGAGTCTCAAGTAATGGTTGCTTGTCTGTGGAGCCAACGATAAGATCTGTTGTGTGACTTCCTAGATGATCATACCTAGAGATGTAGCAGTAGTCATAAACAGTGGAGGAAACTCGAAATTTGCTTGTCACATATTAAGGGGAAAGGAGAAGAACCTCCGCTCAAAGACAACAAGTGTTGCTGACTCAACACAGTCCACGGAATGATAAAAGTTTGGAGGTAGGTATGCATATGAATCAGCCTACAGCAGAGAGAAAACGAAGAAATGTGGAAATTGGTTGCAACCATTCACCAACGATGTTATCAGAAGAGTACTTTAGTAAATTGTTCTCTATACAACTCATACCGTCAATGTAATTGAGGAACTAGATGTGTTTGCGAGTGTCACAGCACCCTCGACCACGAATACAAGACTTGAAGAAGATTCATGACATTGCAACGAGTTAATAATCAGAATGTACATGATGAGAGCATATATGCTAAAGAGAGAGAGAGATCGTATAAGTAACAATACCGCTCTATGTCTCGTGAAGGTAAACCTGAACTTGACATTTCTGCAAGAGACAGTAAAATCAAAATCAACAAAACTGTTCGAGTAGATCATATAACGCTGCAAATCCTTAAAACTCTAAAGAACAAGGGAATGATCTAGTAATAAGGAGATTGGCAAAGCAGTGCACTCATGTACACATAACTTGTTCATAAAAGATTCAAAATTCACAAGATGAATATAAGAACAAGTTGATGTTCATCTATTGTGAGAAGATATTCGATTCCAGACCTTTCATTTTCGCAAGGTACATGACGAAATGGGAACCCATTGCCGGTGTGATCAAATACGCCCCTAATGTGTTTGTCCTGTAAATTTTAACCAACAAATAAGCATAAGAACTAGCCGACTTTTGTAGCTACAAAATTCAGGAAGTTAAAAGAGTGTTATGTATACCAGTCAGGTAAAGGGCTGTAAACATGGCTTTCCGGTGTTATTAACGCATGATCTCGTCTGTATACACTTCGAGTGAAACCCGGCAAGTCTACAAAACAAGAGAATCATAAATTTTCTGGTTGCCAATGAAAAAAAACTCATCATACAACTATCAGAAAGTTATGAGACAATCTGTATGCACGTAATTGAACTTGAGTGCTTTAATGGCTTCTATGTCACCTCCTAATTGATTAAAAGTTAGGAGCTTTTGCAAAACAAGAGTCTTAAATTCTCTCAGATTAAGCACTAATTCAAGGAATCATAACTTTTCAGTGACTTAATATCTATCTTAAACAATAACTCGAAATCAACCCTATTCGCCAAGACCTCGCTCAGTTGAACTAAATCAGGAATCGAACATAACCACCAGAAGTATCAAACTTGTAATGAAATGAAGCTAAAAACGAGTAAACCGTAAGATCCGACGATTTGTTGTAAGAAAAAATCTGAACCTTGAAGGTGAGAAGGAGAGAGTGTTGGATTGGTGACTTTCCAGTAAATGGGTTTCGACTCATCTGATTCAGCGATTGAAGGCGCTGAACAAAACCCATCGTCGCTTTTCGAAGCTTTAACAAGACCTTTGCAAGGTGATAACGAAATAAGAAAGTCCTGAGTACTTACACAGTTATGCACAAAGAGTTTTTATGAAGAATCTACGATTCCTACTTACTGATAATGATGAACACGATTAAGTGAAGTGAGCGCATTTTTGCTGAGAATCAACGACGATTAAGGTTCACTGGTCTTTCTATTCATTATTCATATTTATAAAACTCTGAGAAAAAAAAAAAAAAAATAAAACAGAACACGACAGATTATTCTCTGTAGTGGCCAGTAGATGTCTTTTGTTTGGTAGCCTCATAAAATTTGAGACGTCAAAGAAAGAACAAAAATATGATTTATTTACGAAATATGCCATTGGAATTATAAATAAAATGTGTTTGGAAACGGGATTAACAGAACCAATTTCGAGTGAGAAAACAAAACCCAAGTCGCTAACTCAATTCAACTTGATGCAAACAAATATCAGAAGCGGAGTTCACAAACTTTTGGTTATGCAATCGAGAAAATCGAGAAGAGTGATTGAGCATGAGGTAAAATCTATTACATCGGCTTCCCAAACCAGGTAGTTGTTTTGATTTCGAGAGTAGAAGAAATATAACCTGAGGTGGAGACATAAGTTCAGGTAAACATCGGTGAATTGCAAATTGAAAATTGAATCTGGAGCATCTCCAAATCGGTAATAACTGATTTTGCATGTCGTAGATGTTGGAACCAAATTTTAAAGCTAAATTAGGCTGGATAAAGTTGTGGACAGTTGTGAAAAGAAATGAGTTTTGGCTAATGTAAAATGAATGAGAAAAGTTAAATGAGTTAAAACGAAAGAGCACTTCACTTGTCCCACATTGGAAAGAATGATTTCCTCTTGTTTAAATATAGACATTTCCAAACAAGCTTCAGCATGCTTTAAGTGGGAGACTATGAAAATTGAGAGAAAGAGACCATTATGTAAAAATTCACACGCATACCGCCGTTATGCCAGGCTCGGGTCTTGGGTCTTGGTGAATGTGGGCTTCGCCCACAAAAGACTATTCTTTTTGGGCAAAATTCTTATCAACGTTTTTTGCTAAGCCCAAAACGAAATTGTATAATGTTCGAGAAACTTCTAAAAGATTGAGTTCGATTTTCGGTTTCCTTGATAAACTTCTAGTCTCACCAAAACCACCATATTGCGGGAGATTTATTGAGTTAAGGAAAGAGATAAAATCTCGCCTCTGTGTATTCGTCTATTTTCAATGGATTTATTACTATATATTATTATTATATAAGAATTTCATTCGTATTTTTCAATCTGGATTTTCGCGGTCCTACAGTCTTAACTCAATAAATCCGATCCTGCTTATCGCTTGAATCGGATTGAAAAATTTGCGAAACAGTTTTTTCTTATATGATATTATAAAATGGTTTTCTTATAGATCTGAAACAGTTCTGCGAAAGCTCTTTATCTATTCAGCAGAAAGTTTCGATCTCAAAAAAGACGAATATCATTACTTGATAAAACGATTTAGCGACAGCTTCCAGCAGGATTGCGAAACGTTTTTTCAACTCTATTATATCTGATCTCTGATCTAATATAAAGTTTAAGAGCAAGTCTCTGTGAACTTAGCGAATTATTTTTTCGCTACCCCACAATACTGACAAAATCTGTCTTTTGTGAAACAGATCTACAATGTCTAATGGTGCTAACAACACTGATGGGGATCAGATTGCGGCTAATGGTACTGGTCAACTTGCTTCGCTCGCTGCACCAACTCTGCCTAGCAACATAACTGTAAGGCTTACGCCTGACAAATTCGATGACACAAATTTCAAACAATGACAGCAGAAGATACACTTCTTCCTGACCACGTTGAATATGGCAAAGTATCTCGTTGAAACAAAACCTGAGCTGCCTGTTGATGCTGATGCAAACCCAGATCCACATGTTTATATGACCTTGGAGAACTGGGTGCAAGGAGATTTCCCGTGCAAAGGACATTCAAAATTGCCTAGTGGATCACTTGTACAATGTTTACAGTGAGGTCAAAACAACCATTGTGGCAAGGTTGGACATCGCGGAGCCGATTGTCGCAGCAAGGCCAAGGAGAAAAACCAAGCCAACTTGACAGAGTCTGACATGGTGGCTGTTGTTACAGAAGCTAACATGGTTGAAGAGAATCCGATGCTATGGTGGTATGACACTGGTGCTACCACACACATCTGCATTGACAGACAGATGTTCAGCACTTACCAGAAAAGCAAGGGAGATGATCGTCTGCTGATGGGAAATGTGTCCCACTCCAAGATTGAAGGCACTGGAAAGGTGGTCCTGAAGATGACATCTGGAAGAGAGCTCACACTCAACAATGTGAAGCATGTTCCAGACATGAGGAAGAATCTGATTTCTGGCACTCTGATGAGCAAGCATGGATTCGCCATCAACTTTGAGTCTGACCAGCTGATTCTCAGGAACATGGTGTTTTTATAGGAAAAGGTTTTGTTAAGGATGGACTGATTAAGATGTGTGTATCTCCAGTCCAAAGAAACATGTTGTACCTGTTTCCAATGATTTGATTAATAAGAAACCAGTTGCTTATTTGGTTGAGTCTTCTAATATTTGGCATGAAAGATTAGGACATGTAAATTATAAGTCCATTGAAAGACTGATGAATTTGAACCTAATTCCGAAAATGCAAAATAAACAAAGACAAATGTGAGATATGTGTACAAGCAAAACTCACTAAAACACCATCTCCTCATGTCGAAAGAACAACTGAACCTCTGGGACTAATACACACAGATTTGTGCGACTTGAAATATGTACAAACCAGAGGGGGTAAAAAGTATTTTGTGACATTTCATAGATGATTGTACAAGATACTGCTACGTCTACTTGCTGCGTAGTAAAGATGAAGTTTTGGAAAAATTCAAGGAGTACAAAACTGAAGTTGAAAACCAACTGGGCAAAACCATTAAAATGGTTAGAAGTGATAGAGGAGGTGAGTATGATGGACCCTTTCAATGCTTTCTGTCAAGAGAAAGGCATCATACATCAGACCACTGCTCCCTATTCACCAGAATCTAACGGAGTTTCAGAAAGAAAGAATCGAACTCTGAAAGAGATGATGAATGCAATGTTGCAGGAATCTGGGCTACCGCAGAATCTGTGGGGGGAAGCTCTGCTAGCCACAAACTATATCCTCAACAAAATACCACACAAAGTAACTAGCAAAACACTATATGAGCTTTGACTCCACATTCTCCATGTGGGGGTTAATTTCTTCATTAGGAGGATTATTGGTCCGTGGGCCGGCCTGTTGTGGCCCACAAACGATGACAAAAAAAAACACTATATGAGCTTTGAAAAGGTTCAATACCTTCTAAAAAACAATTTTTACCGAAGACATTATTTTATTTCATCGGTTATTTTGCTGTTGGATAATTTTGTTGCCACAAAAAACAATAGTGTAACTTTCGCATACTCTTACATTACAAGATGCTTATATTTTTCGTCTTAACGCTACTAGTAAGATTATTTTTCACATCATCGAAATTTAACACTGTAATTAGGATCTTGAATCTGTAAATGGCTTTAACGTTATATCATAACGATGTTACCTAAATATCAAATATTACTATATTGAAGATTTAATTGAGAGAATAGACAGGAGACCAAAACTTTGATAAAATGGAAAGAAAAACATAAAGATTCCCTTTCTAATGTCATGTGAAGAAGTTGAAGTGCACATCCCTCTCAACTTGGCTTTACTAATTTCTATTCGACTCTTAAACACACAAAATTAAGCTTAATGTAAAAAAAGACTATTATTATATATGTTAAATCAAAGCTCGTCGTGGCTTTCTTCTTCTTTGGCAGGTTCAGATTCAGAAGAAGAATTGGAGTCTGAGGATTTTGATTGTTCCTCTTCCTTGGTTGTGTTCTCCTTCTTTGTTGCTTTCTCTACCTTTGGCTTTGGCTTAGGAATCCGATTGACCTTTGTGACCTACATTACATCATTTTATGTTTAAACTCAATTATGAAAATCTTACTGAATTTTTTAATATATCAAATCTCTCTTTTGGTACCTTGTCTTGCAGAGCAAATACTTTGGCGTAGACTTCATCGGACGTGAACACTGGCTTGCTCGACAGAGCACTCCTGTGGCAAGTTTCATGTTAACTCTTTTGTAATTTACGGTAAAAAGAAGATTACAAGACAGACACTCACTTTTTCTGCTCAGCCTCATTCTTTTCCAACCAGCTTTTTACTTTCTCAGCTTCCTTTGAGACCTGAATACAAACAAACAAAAACGCAATTTAGCGAAAGGTCTCAAAAGAGACCTGTGTGTGTGTGTGTGTGTGTTTCCACTTAGATGTGCAAAACTACCTCGTCGATTTTTTGTTTTGGAAGCCAAGTTTTGTTCGTCTCCCACTCCTTTATGATCTGCAATGTCGATGAAACTTGTTTTTTTTTCTTTATCATGAGAAAACTGTAAAAATTCATGTAATGTCAAGTCAGTGTACCTCTTTTACTTCTGTTAGGTATTTTCGTCCGTATTCAACTGCTACGGGTCGCGCTGTAAGCTCATCTGATCTGTTACAGATATACAGCAAAATGGTTTATAAAAATATTTGTTTTGGAAGCTCATAAATGAGAAGATAACAACAACAAACCGCAAAGATATTGGACTGCCAATGGCTTTTAGGGAGTCGAGCCGGTCCTGAAACTCTGTGGCATTAGCATCCTCGCCGTCCATGTAAAGCCAATCTTGCACCTGAACCATACAAGACACGCCTCAGTTGTCATAAACGCTTTTTTACTCAGTTTTTGGAACTCAATTTGTACTAGTTTAAAAGAAAAAAATGATACATGCCTCATCAAGCTTCTCAACAAACGCCTTGCGCTCTTCCTCAGTGGATATCTTTTCAAACTCGGGTGTTTCTAGCTGTACAACGACCAAAAGTAAAAAACCAAAGCTTTGAGTTTTAAGAAGAAAGTAGGCTGAGATAGTGATCTATATATAAGCACACACCTTCTCTTTGGTAGCATATATATAAGATTCAAGGTTGTTTTTTAACTCGGCCGTTCTTCTTCTTTCCCTATCTTTCTTGTCCAGTACTTCTAATTTTATCTTAGCTTCAGCAAGAGACTCTTTAGTAAACGGAGCTCCAGGTCCAACAGTTTTCTCAACTACCTACAAGTCATAAAAGAGAATTGGTTTAATGGTATTGACAGACACAATTCAAAAAAATCTTGGAAACAGTAAAGCAACAACACACACCTTCAGAGAAACCCTGAATGTCCGCTTTTTCAGCTTTCTTTCTGTTTCAACCACAGCTGGTTCTTCTGTGGTTGTATTTGAAGCAGTGCTGTTTCCATCATCAGCTTGTAGCTCCTCTTTGTTTTCTTGAGAGTTCTCGTCAGAGGCATTGCCTGTTGTTGTGGTTGTGTTATTATCAACAGTCGCGTTCGCCTTAGGAACGTCTACCCATTCTGTGATTTCAACTACAGCGTCTCCCCGATCTAGACTGATAATCCCACTTCTACTTAGAGAGAAATGTAAATTTGCCTTGATAGGTGCTGATAGATTCCGGGAAGAATATCTGTCCAGATCAAAGAAATTTAGGTTATTCGTTTATCTCAAGATTTCATATAAACATAACAATAAGAGAAAACTTTAAGCTCTTACTTCTCAGCCGCATCCGCCAAACCAGAAACAGAATACTGTGCGAACACAGGGGAGGTGGTCCCTGGAGGTAGAATACCCTCGGGCTCATAAGCAAGTGACACATCAAAATCTTTGTCGAGGACAAAGGTTCTGAACATCTGTGAGAGGATCAGGTACACAGTTATTACAAGACAGATAAATCATTTTTCAAGCTTCATAAGGTTTTGAATGTCATTTCGTACCTTGCTGGGTAGCTTTTTCATTCGTGGTACGAGTTGTTGCTTTGTGCTCTCATCTTTCTTGACATTAGGGCCTTCCAACTCAACTAGGAAACCATAGGGAGAACCATCAACTATACCAAGCCTACGTTTCAATTTGATTCCATCGCTCAAGTTAGCAGCGTGTAGTGATGAGCCGAGGACAATAGCCTCATCAGCATCAAGATGTTTGTCTAAATCTTGTTTCCCAATAAATTCCTGGATCGTGCTCTGTAATATACCAAGAAGAAAATTTAGACCTTTACTTCAAGTCAAATTATTGGCTTCAAGAACATGATAATCTACCTGTAGTTTCGGAACTCTGGTAGCTCCTCCTATTAGCTCCACTGCATATATATCATCCATCTTCAAACCTGAATGCTTGAGCACATCTTTTAAAGGTGTAAGAGATCTCTCCCACAGATCTTTACACAGTTCCTCGAACTTCTCACGGGAAATTGTGCTCCTGAAAGAAGATAAGAAAGTTAGACTATCACGGGCATGACAAAGATTAGACAAATCATGATGCAAATTCTAGCATGCGAAGCGAAATGAAATGAAAGGGCCATGTACGAAATAAGTTGTGCCTGTGCCAGTAAGATGCATGATACGGATTATAAATCATATCAACACTTTTGCGGCCAAGGTTGAGTGAGATTTAGTTATACCTGAAGTCACGATCATCATGAAGAGATTCAACCGATATGGGAGCTCCAGTGTTTGCACTCAAAATTTCCTTTGTACGTTTGACTTGTTTTTTCAATTTAGCCATTGCTTTGGGGAATTTTCTCACATCAATTCCACCACCGAGCTGTTTATTAAACTCATCTGCAAAGTACTCTACCAAGCGCATCTCCATACTCTGTCCTCCAAGTTCCGAATCCCATCTAACGTCCTTGACCTAAATTATTTAACCAATAATGAAAACCATTCTAGAGACCAAACCAAGACAATAAGCATGACTAGCCAGAGCTTATCTAAATGTAAAATAAGAGCATTACTAACCTGAAATTGGTTGACAGAAACAGTCTTTCCAAATTCCTTCTCATTGTAAGCAGAGTAATAGACAAGGGCTGCATAAGTACTACTTGAGCCCATGTCATAGAATATAACATGTCTCGACCCGTTTGAGAAATCCTTATCAATCCCATACTGCAACGCGGCACCGGAATGCTCATTAACCAGAGAGAGGACATTAACACCAGCCAGCTGAGAAGCCTGGATCAAGCCACGTCTCTCAGCCTGACCAAAGTAAGGTGGCACTGAAACAACCATATCCTTCACCGGGATTTTCGCATGGAACTCAGCTAGGTTCGAGGCATAACCCAAGATCATAGCTAACAACTCCTCCACCGAGTAAACAGTCGAACCGTCATCGATCTTAATACCAACTGCACCTCTAGAATCTTCTACAATATCAAACGGTAAGTACACTGAATCGATGAAATCCTTGACGTGTTTGAAAGGCTTTCCCACCATGTCCCTTAGCTGGGAGTAAACTTTATTAGGGTAACGAGCCGTTATTCCAGCAGCTTCCTCACCCAGTAATCTGTCACCGGAGTGGAATGCCACTAAAGCTGGGGATTTCCTCTTTGACATCTCGTTAATGGCTACGGAGATTGGGCTCTGTCCCCGTTTCAGGTTAACGACGGCGACTTTTACCCATTCCGAACCTAGATCTACACTCGAAACAGCCGATTCCGATGGAACGGGGAGTAGAGAGAGCAATGACAAGACTACCACTAACCCAGTAAACATCTTCCCCATTATCCGATCGCTAACGAAACACCGAGAGTAGAGCCCGCACTTACTCTGAAAGGAAAAATAAACAGCGACATTAGAATCAAAAACCCTAGGAACAGAGTAAATCGTATAAATCCTAATCAATCTGGGATTTGACTCCAACTTCAAATCGATCACGGCAAATGAGATTAAACGATTAATCAGCTCTAACAAAGCTTTAGCACAATTAAGCTTTATAAAACTACTTGCGCACATGGAATCGAAGAAGAAAACGTTGCGATTAAGGAATGTTCTCAACAAAAATCAGGAATGAAAATGCGATTAAGGAATGAAAAAAGCAGGAACATTCGCAGAAAATCACAATGCTCGACAAAGAGAAGAAAGTCCGGATTCAAAGTTTGATGAGATAAATTTAGGAGAGTGAAGAAAAGAATAATGACCAGTTTCCGAGCTCCGATCGCATTCTCCGGAGCAAATCGATTTGCAGATTCAAAGTTTTCCGTCTGGTTCTCGAGAGTACTTAACGAATTGAAAATTAAAACAAACGGAGACGAGAGTGCACAATATAATAACGGAGAAGAGAAATGCCGAGGTGGAACTGTGATTCAGTGATACCGCCAATGAAAATATTCCACGTGTAAAACCTGACACGTGTTGAGATGTGAGACGCTTCGTTTGTTGTTGATTACGCTTGTGGCCTAAAAGTCTGGAGTGTTGTTTGGTCAATCCAGGTGAACTTCTCGCGGAATCAGAAGGTCTTAAAACCTTGATTACAGTTTATTATTATATACTCCATTAATTAAATTATATTATCTATTCAAATTAAAATACATTAGATATCTCTAAATATTTTTTTTCCTTGAATTAGGCTTATTTTTGTATGTTAACAATAAATCAAAATATATTGGAAAAAGGTTTTAACATGTGTCATGTCAATTAATAATTTTACAAAATCAAGATAGTTCACATCTCATCAAATTAGTTTTAGAACTTTACAGTGTATGTGCATAAGCATACACAATGGTTCGAACAAATACAAACTTAAAAATGTGAATTTAAATAACTTTTCATAAATAGGGCAATCTTGAGATGTGACCAAAATAAAATACTAAACCTGTTTTGAAACAGACCCAAATATTCTTTTTGTCGATATCAAAATGAAATACAAAAAAATAAACGTTAGAAATCAGGGGAAAACTAGTTTTTACACTTCAGGAAATCTAAGGAATACAAAAAAAAAACTGTTTTAAGACAACAACAAAAAAAAAGGAAAAAAAAAACTAAATTTTGAGGTAATAATATAAGACAAGACAAATACAAGACGGGACAGAGAGAGTTTTGGTGGGGGTTTTAAAATCAGAAAGAAACAAAGAGAGAGGTGAGTTAAAGTATGCCTATTCGATAGAAGTATCTATGAACACTTGAAGCAACAAAGTAGCTAACATAGGAAGCTCCTATTTCCTCTCCTCTACCTGTTATGATCAAACAGCTGAAACAACATAAGATTTCTATTTAAGATTCTTATGGTTTTGTATGTTATGATTCTCCAAAAAAAAAAAGTTTAGATTTTTGACCTACCTGGTTTACAGTAAAATAATCCAGCGACCTCCGTTTCGATGCAGCAGAACCAGATTGCGTTTGCTAGTCTGGGAAAACATCGTCACGCTCGTTGTCTGGTAAAGACAAATGCTCATGTCCAGCTCTAGTGCTGTTGTGGAACTCTTCTGCTATGTCTTCTTCTTCATCGTCGGATTTGTCGTAAGAGAAAGGTCTCTGACAAACGCAGGCTTGCGGGTACTCGTGGAACTCGCCGCGTCCTGGCTTGAACTCGTCTGGATCACCCATGAATCCTCGTTGACAAGATTTCACTTTCTTGGCGAAACTTTGCCACTCCATCTTCCCTCGGTCCATGAACAAAGCACTTAGCTTCTTTGCATTTGGCCTTATGGTCCTCTTGTGTCCCATGTACCTCCTGTAAATCACATAACCATAAAAGCGATGCTCTCATATCAAATGAAACATATCTTTTAACAAGCAGAGAAAGGTTTTGTTACCTTCGGCCAGCGAGAATCTTGGCCATATTTCCATTATTGTTAGTGATGAATACGTCACTTTCGTCGCTGACAATGTAGTCGATGGCAGCGAGGCGTGAAGAGAAGGGAAGCAGAGGCTTGAGCTCATCATTGGCAAGCATTTCCTTGGTGTAAAAGTTTGGAAACAGCTCTCTGAGTGGCTTTAGTGTCTTCTCACCACCGTATATCTCTCCAGACGCAACGTAGATGTATGTGTCATTGGCGAAACCAAGAGCGCGCAGCATTAAGCCCACTTCTTGAGGCGTGAGAGGGCATTTCCCACGCTTTCTTTCCTCAAGAGGGTCCAGATCCTGCAGTGATTTGCCTAGTGAGACTTTGTAACTCCAGTAGAGAAATTTGAAAGTTTAAGAAAGTTATGTAAAAGAGCTCACAGGCAATGTGTCCCATCGTTTTCTTATTTCTGCTAGCTCGGCTCGCTCTTTTTCGCCGCCGCCAAAGTCGCAACCAGAAAAGGCTAGCATGTCAGGCTCAAACCTGCAAATATTTAGGATATGTATGGTTATGTACATAACATGAAGAAGATGAAGACCATTAAGAAGAAATCAGAGAAACAATCTAAAACCTTAAGTGGACAGCAATGAAACGTTTGGCCATCTTTCTCATCCTCTTGACCACTTTCATCCCAACTGATTGTATGCGCTTCGTGAATCTCAAAGCATGGTAGTTGACTCTGCATCGCAGCTTCTGCATGTCTTCGTCTAGATCATTTGCTAGTCTGTAGTCAAACTTCGTCAATTGTAAAACCTGCAAGAACTCAAGAAACATGATCAGGCTCCAACCATAACAAAACTGAAACAGAACTTGATTCTTTAAGTGAAACAGTCTTACATGTCTTCTCGTGAGAATTGGCAATACTTGGTCGAGGTAATACTCAGGAGTAGACTTCCGAGGCACACGCATTGTATAAGGAGGTTTCTCCATGGACCTCATGACTCTATCAGGAACTCTCTTTACTATGGTCACATCTTTGGTGAGGGAAGAGATGAACCAGTTAATGTCAAAAATGTCATTAAAGTCACTGCACACAGCGCAACGAAACAAACTAACGTATTCAGTAACATGTTTTTGTGTTTACAAACAGATTCAGATGAAGCATTCGCCAAAACTTGCTAAAGTTACCTGTCATCTTTCCAGTAAGAATGGTGATCCAACTCAGGTACAACTAAAGTAGCGTTAAGAATCCGTGCAACAACCACTGCATCCGTTATCTAAATGTTCATAAAGATAACATTTAGTTTCCAAACAGACTCAAGAGACTTCGGAAATGACAATGATCAATATAACCCTCAACACATTTATTCCTGAGACACAACATGACTTACGCCTGTTCTTTGCTGGTTCAGGCCTCCACTAGCTGCAATCAGCAAATACCCATTAGAAGAGTGCTCCTGAACAGCAGCTGCAATTCCAAAACAATATTTGTCAGAGATTCGCCTAAATTAGTTATACATCAACAAATTACCAAATATGTAACGCCAAGAACCAAATGTGACTTTTCACCAAACTAAAAAGAGGGTGAAGCCAAGTTTTGCTATTAGATCAGTAAAGTAACAGACTTTTTCCTACTAAATTCCAAGATCAAATTTTTAAAAAGGACTAAAGCTTCACTTTTTTTTGATAATGAGGTTAGAAGAAAATGACTTACGAGGGAAGTTCCTTCCTCTTTCACTGCATCCATAGAAGAACTTGGAATATTTCGACTTCCATACATCAATGGGTTCTCGACGACCCATATCCTGAGAAATTATCCAATTTCAAGACGCAATCAGAACAAAAACTAACCTAAATTGAGTAGAGGAACAGTGACTATATCTCAGTGTGAGTAAGAAGTGATAGACTGATTAAGGTGAGGATGAAATTAGAGGTGTTACTAGTAAGTTCCGTTTGCTCAGTTGCTGAGAATACCACTCGAGGTGAGATGCAACGTGGCCGGTGAAGAGTGAGATGACACCTAAGGAGAAGAGCATGAAACCACATACCCATGTCCACATTACCGTTCTCTTCGTCTGAGCCGATAAAGATCGCCGCCACCTCCATAACGCACTCTGTTTTCCGCCGTTGAGCTGCTGCGACAACAGAGGAGGAGAGTTGTTCGTCGTCAACAGCCTCACGCTCGACCTCCACACCTCAGCTACTACGCCCATAGATCGAAATGACTTCTTCTCACCGCCAATTTCATCACTGATTTCACGGAAATGCCATTTCCGAGACGACGAAGAAGAATCGGGGAGCCAACGGAATCTGGTACAAACCGAAAAGGAAGAGAGAGAAAACGAAATCTCCTGGAGAGGAGGTGTTTCCTGATCGGAGTTAAACAGATCGGAGGATTAGGGTTTTGAAGAAGGTAGCGAACGCGAAGTAGTGTAAAGGATCTCTCTCTCTCTGAGTTTTTGAGATTTTTCGAAATGGTGAAGACGGAGAAGAGACAGTACAGGCGTAGCCTTTTTGTCCTAATTTTTGTTTTGCCTTTTTGCTGATTGATTTAATTCACCTGAATTAATTAGTTATTTAACTACACACATTACGATAACCAAAGTAAATCAATCTGAAATTTAATCTCAACCGAGTTTCTTGTAAATATTAAACCGTATTCTACGCCACTTAAAAGCTTGTCTGTTTTATTTGATACACTTGTTTTCTTCGACGTCACTGTAAAAATTCGAATGAATAATAGAAGTGTAATTAGTTAAATTTAACTAAGTTAAGACAAATTATAATAAATGACAATGTTGTCTTCTTCTTATATGTCTTTTTGGAAACATAACTAAAATGATCGAAGAAATCACAGATGTACATGAGAATCTGAAGCGAATTTAAAGGTCAGTTGCGATGGGGTCACGTGATACGATTACAAACCACGTGTCCGCCGCATATCCACCGGCGAGTTATGATCACACACGATAACCATCCCAAAACAGCTCCAATTAATTTGGTTTATGCCGACTTAAACCGGTTTCTATGCCAATCAGGCTTATAAACTGCTCCAATTAATTTGGTTTAGGGCCCAAACAGTGATACACTCATTTTGCCAATTGAAACTTAGAGCCACCCAAAACTTAATTTGAGACTAAAAATACACCCTGCCACCAAGTTTCCCATAAAATAAAGAGTTTTTTTATTGGATTCTAACTTAAATGTTCTCGTCCTACGAATAATTTTGAGATTGAAAAGTACTGCCAATCCTAAGCATTTGTTTGCGTTTGACTAAAAAAGACAAAATAAAAGAATTTCGTTTGCAACTTGGTTCGAACCAGTTAATATTTTAAGAAAAAATTGGTACCTGGGAAACTATGACAAAACTTTTCTCATTATTATATTAGACAAATATTTTATGTTAAAACAATGGATCTTACCAAAATTTCCGCTATATCAAACACTAAATGGATGTACTGAACTTGAGATGTTAGATAATTTTAAGTGAATTATAAAAATTGCTATGATTTAAGTGAAAACACTCTAATTGTTATTGTTAACAAATGATAATGTTTCACACATACATTTCCTTGGAAAGAACCAATGATATGCTTTAATTAAAACACTTTGAGATTAGGTCTAAATAGTTATAGCTTGCTAACAAAGAAAGTACACAGCGTCTGGTACTATTTTGTTGATAGTGAGACTTGAATATGATACGATTAATCTGCAAAATTGATTTTTAAGAAGTGAATATATAATTTGATGAGATTGTTTATCCGTCTAGTTCAACCTCCCTATCTTTTTCAAGAGGAGAGTTCTTCTGTTAGTTGTCTCACCTCACACGTAACCCTCTTCCTGATCCCGAGGGATTTCTTCTTCAGACAACTTTCCCTTCAAAATGTCTTCTTTTGTTTCTTTAATAATAATTAAATAAGGATCGGATATGATTATTGAAGTCGAAATTTACCTAAATCTGGTCAACAAACGCAATATACCTCAACTATACTCCAACGAACCATTCCCAATCATCTATGTCACACTCATAAGCACAAATTATATGTATGTACTTGCTTTTATGTTCGATTGCCATTATACGCAGACTGCAGACATATCAACACATTTATAATTATCATTTTTTATCCTTAAATCAACATACAAAGCCAGAAAAAAGTATTAATTTCCAATTAATAGCATTAGTTAACGCCTAGATTTTTTTTATTATATATTTATTATTTGTTTCTCATTATTAAATTTTACGATATATATTAACCTCAACACAATAAATATATGCTAACCAACCATTGACATATATGTATCGATGCATTTCCTTTAGTATAAATGTTGCGGGATAGTCAAAATACAATATGAGTGTCATAAAAGTTTGTGGCAGGATTCGGTATTTGATACCATACTAAAATGGATTTAATCAGGTAACTGATTGTATTAGAACAAGGACCTTGCAATGTATACTTATAAAAAAATGTATTCCTAAACCAGACAGGATTCAGTTGACCCAACGTACCAACTTCCAAGTGGTAGTCATCCAAAATACTAGATTCCTTTTGGGTTTAAACTTTCAACGTATCCTCACGTCAGAATCTATATAACCTTTCCCCCTTTTTCTGTCTCTCTTTCACTTTTCTTCTCCATCGATCCTACCTCCACACCACTTCTTATTTAAATCGAAGTCTTCAGAATCTTTAATCTCCGTGGGTTTCTTCTAAGCTAAACGGAGAACCCATGTCTCGTAATGTATTAATCCATAGAAACAGAGCTCTTTGTGTTGTTGTCTTAATCTTCTCCGTCCTCTTGTTCTGTTTTCCGAGCCGGCTTTCTGCCAGACACCTGGCGGAGGAAGCCACAGCAAAAGCAACTCAAACAATCCACGTCAGCAACGCCACGTGGCATGATTTCTCCCGTCTTGTAGATGTCCAGGTAGGCAGCCACGTCAGCGGTGTATCAGAGCTCAAAAGATACCTCCACCGATTCGGTTACGTCAAAGACGACGGCGGTGATGGCATGAAGAATTTCTCTGACGTGTTCGATGGTCGTCTCGAAACTGCGATCTCTCTGTACCAGCAGAATCTGGGATTACCGATAACCGGAAGACTCGACATGAGCACGGTCACTCTTATGTCATCACCGCGATGTGGCGTTAGCGACACACATATGATCAATGCCGGTTTCCATACGACGGCGCATTATACGTATTTCGGTGGTAAACCTAAGTGGAATCAAGACAAGCTAACATACGCTTTCTCGGAAACACACAAACTCGATTACTTGACATCCGATGACGTCAGAACGGTTTTTCGGCGAGCTTTCGATCAGTGGGCGAGCGTGATTCCGGTAAGTTTCGAGGAAGTTGATGATTACACGACGGCGGATTTAAAGATCGGATTCTTCGCCGGCGATCACGGTGATGGCCAACCGTTTGACGGTGTTCTCGGGACTTTAGCACACGCCTTTGCGCCGGAGAACGGAAGGCTCCACCTTGACGCAGCGGAAACATGGGTCGTCGACGATGACTTCGGAAGTAAAGGATCTACGGTGGCGGTTGATTTGGAGTCGGTGGCGACGCACGAGATTGGTCACTTGCTCGGATTAGGACATAGCTCACAGGAATCAGCGGTCATGTATCCGAGTCTCCGACCGAGGACCAAGAAGGTGGACCTTACGGTTGATGACGTGGCAGGTGTGTTGAAGCTATACGGGGCGAATCCGAAGTTACGGTTGGATTCACTGACGGAGTCGGAAAATTCTATTAAAAACGGCGCCGTATCATGGAGATTCTTGTCGGGGAATTTTACCGGTTATGTTCTGTTGGTCGTTATGATTCTGTTTCTATAGGATTTTAGGAACATGTACAAATAGAATCCGGATTATTATAGGTTTAGAGAAAAGGGATGGATAGAAAGGACATGATATTTTTCTTGACCTTTCTTGCTTCCACCAAGGGATTAGATTATTTTATAAAGTTAGTTAGTTCTTAACAATAGTGAAGTAAAACAAAAAAGGGAAGAGAATTCAACTCATGGGAATTTAGTGGTTGAAATATTATTCATCATTGAATTTGAGACTAAGATTCAAAATTTCTCATTGTGTTTTCAGTGTGTTATTGTGGACATCTTAAATGGCAATTTTTTTTTTAAGAGATTATGATGATTATTGTGATCTTTGCTCCACGGTTATCCAAAATATCGCAAAGAGACTTCAAAAACATACACTATAATGGTATATATATAATTTGAACATGGAAATTGCTGACACTAAGAAAATCGATATGCTTTCCTAGCAATAGCAATATTATTAAAATGAAATATAGTAAGATGGTCAAATACGTATGTTTATGTAAATTTTAGGGTTTTGTGAAAAACCTTAAACTAAATTATTTTTGCAAGAAAAACCATCATCTCAAAAAAATGCAAGTCAAATCACTCATCTCAAAAGTCACTTGCAATATATATATATATAGAGAGAGAGTAGAGTTTGGATGCAGCATTTGCATCTCAAAACAAAAAGACTTCAACACATCAAAATCATAAAATCATGTTTTTCTGTTAAGATCGTAAAATTGCGTTTTTCAGCCAAAACCGTAAAATCATGTTTTTCCGCCAAAACCGAGAAATCACGTATTTCTGCCAAAATCATAAGAATCGATGCCTTCGTGAATTCGTTGAGATCTCTCTAGATCTACCAAAAACAAGGGTTAGAGAATATTCTTCTCTCAAAGCTAAAAGTTCTATTTTATTAATCAAAATCAACTAAATAAGAAAACCTTAATCTAAAAAACCCTAGAATTATAATAGGAAATTATCATAATAATAATAGAAATAATTATAATATTTCTAAATTAAATATCTCTCTGCATCATTCTCTCCGAGTTGGAGAAGATTCGCCCTCGAATCTTAGTCGTGATCTTCAGCTTCAAATTCCTTTTCTTCAATAAGACTCAGCTCTCCTCCATGGCAGTACATATAGTCTTTTCTTATGGAAGCTCTGCTTTGCGTCTTTAGATGTAAGGAGGGCGAATTTTCTCTGCATATAGTTTTTACCTAGAAGAGAAATGATGAACATATATAACCAAAGTTTTATCGGGAGAGTATAAACTGGATCATGGTAACAGAAAGGATCTTGTAACTTGTAAGTATTGTTACGCATCTGTAAAGTCTCAAGTAACATGGATGGATTAAAATCTGATAAGTGGGATAAAAGATCTTACGATCAAACTCAAAAGATCAAACACTCTGCTTTGTATAAGAATAACTCTTTTATTGATAATGTTTAGAAACTAAACTCAAAACTAAACACCAAAGCTGTTTGAATGATTGTCACAACTCGACAATCACTTATATAATCAAGCACAACTTTGCTTTTCCTTTTCCTAAATAGAAGCTAGACAACTTCCTAATCCTATAAGGAATGTATGAAGCTTTCCTTTTCCTTAACCGACTTGTCAAGGCTTCTTGTGCTTCATGCTATCGAAGCTTACCCAACAATCTCCCTCTTAAACTTTGACTTGGTCTTGGACATATCTTGAACTCCAATGAAGCTTCTCATTTCAACGAACTTGACTCCTTTCAAAATCTGATCAAGCTTTGTGTTCCAACACCCTGTAACTTGTCTCAACACCTTGAAAACAAGTCTTCCTTTGTGCTTGTTGATTGAGCCATCTGCGTTTCTCTTGATCTTAAAAACCCATTTAAGGCCAATATTCTTGGCTCCTGCCGATTTTTCAACAAACAACCATGTCTTGTTTTTGTTGATCAAATCAGTCTCATCTAGACACGCCTTTGTCCATTCGATGGAGTCCTTTGCTTCTTGGTCTTCTTCTTCTTCTTCTTCTTCTTCTTCTTCTTCTTCTTCTCTTCTTCTTCTTCTTCTTCTCCAAGCTCTATTCTTGATTGCAGACAAGTTTGCTTTCCAATCTTGAGATTTATCTTGTAAACCCTGTTTGGAGATCTCTTTACTCTTATCAAGAGTCTTTCACTTGGGTAGTCTTCTCTCATCCTAACATCACAGCCATACTCGGTTGCTTGTCCCAAGCTTAGTACATATGTTGCTCTTCAACTCTGGAATAAAGTAGATATCGGTCAACAGGTTCTGCTCTCCTGTTTTTTCCTTGGAAAAGAATTGATCCTTTTCCACCGATGTCTACACATGATCCATCTCCAAACTTCACTTTTCCTTTGATGTTCTCATTCAGCTCCGAGAAGAATGTCCTCACACCTGTCATGTGATTGCTTGCACCATTATCCAAATACCACATTCCTTTTTCTCCCTTCTTTGTCTTGAAGTTCTTTAAACCCTAAACCCTAAACAACAAATTGATTGGTAGACAAAATAAACCCTAAACGCTAAACTAAAATTGTTTTATTGCCACAAATAAGTGTATGATAGCAGTTCACAGGATTTCTCTTAATTCTTAAACCGAAAATGGTTTTTTATTCTATACTCCCTCCGTTTCAGTTTATATGTCGTTTTAGAGCATTGCACACATATTAAGGAAGTCTGTTAATTTACTACTCTAACCTCGCAAAAACTAGCTATTTACCATTTTAATTATTTTATATTTGTTTTTCTTCCTTTTTTATTTTCTTTATCTTCTTCTCCCTTTATCTTCTTCTCCGATGAGATTGCGATAAACACACACACCAAGCTTTTTCAACTAAATTATTTGCACTGATTTTACCATTGAATAGCTGATATAAAATTAAAGAGAAATTAAGTAGCATGATGTTAGCTAATATTGCAAAGAGTTCCAGAAGCTTAATTTTTTTTTACAAGTTGAGATTCATAATCCATGCCCAGATCTGTCCACTGCAATCCGGCTGCAACCAAGGCGGATCCTAGCCAGAGAGTTCTGGTGTTGATCTTCTTACGGCTGGAGAAAACCCAAGTCAAACCTGCAGATTTAATGTACTAAATTTCTTTTCATGTTATCTCTTTTAACTCAATTATAATCTCTTCGTGTTCTTCTCCACTGCATAATTAATATCATTTAATATATTAAATTTACTTTGTTGACTAGCTTTGATCCGAACATCAACAAAAATTGTGGAGGGAATCTAACAATCTCACGTCACCAACACAGTTGAAGGTGATGTTTTTAGTTGCAATGGCTCGTCCAAGATTTGATGATGAAGGAAACAAAACTTTTTCTGGGAAGACTGGGGTTTTCCCTTTTATCACAAACCAACCTGCAAAAAGACGGAGTAGAAACAGAGAAAGAGGAACTATGGAAATAAAACCGATGACATCGGTCAAGCGAGAGGACGTAAAAAGATGTTTTCTGAATCAATTATTTAGTTGTTTTTATTTTATGAAATGATGTTAGTATTTTAACAAAAGTCAAGTTGTAACTCGTGAACGACAACTATTACGAATAAAAAAAAATAGGCTAGAATGACATATAAATCGAAACGGAGGGAGTAATACAATAGATGGTGAATTTTCCATCTGAGCGCCACGTCAGCTTTTTTTTCTTTTGTTCTCGAATTGCCACATGGCATCGCTTTACTTAAAATTCACACTTGAATGCAATTAAAATTTTCTTTACTTAACCGATGCTCCGTCTCCTCCGCTTTCCGAACCAGGAAGAGAGCGTCGCTAGACTTACCACATCCTCACCATTGTTTCTGAATTCCAGAAACGACCCCACTGCCCTGATAAAGTGCAGAAGTTTGTAAGGAATAGAGCTAAGATCCAAGAGAAAAGCAAGAATCGATTCAATTCCAGAAAAATGAAATTACTTGAGAGCAGCGACTCTCACTCGACTGATGCTCTCGTCCTGCATTTGAGAAGAAGAGCTTGCAAGTCTGCAAAGTATGGCCTAAATGTGTTCCCAATCGTTTCTGTCAAGGAGCTGAAAATGATCAATGCCACCTACAAACAATATTTACCTAAGTGAACAAAACATCCATCAAATCGATCAAATAAAAGACAATCGGACGGAGAGTTTACTTAGCGATGGTCTTCTTGAGCACTCTGGCTACAGTGGAATAGAAATGTTAATAAGTCAGGCCACTCTCCAGCTATAACAGCGTACTTCGCTACCACACTCACAACATTGGCACCCTCATTGGCGGACTGTAAAACATTCAGTTAAGAACCGGAAATTTCAAATCCCAATTGAAACAAGTGAGAGAAAGTAGAATGAGTGAGTGAGAGAGATGGAGGAAGTAAGAGAACAACAAAGTTTCTTTAATCACAATACCTCAAGTTTTTGGAGTTCTTGTGTCATGGTCTTCTGATTTTCTTTGAGTAATTCGTTCTGCTTCTCCAAGTGCCTGTTTTTTGACAAAACCAAAACCGAATTAGGCTAAACAACATGTAATTAAGTGTAAGGATCTTGGAAAACAAATAAGCTAGAGGATACATAATGAGAATTACGTTAACAGATCACCGGTATGTTGCGGATCCATCCTCACAAATGATTGAGCTTTCTTCTAAATGAGAACTCTTTTGATCTCAACCTCGTGATCGTTTAAGAATCCTACGGAAGTAAAATCGAAAGTAACTCTGATCAGCAACGTTATAAATCAAGTATTCTCATTCTAATAACAAGATTCATACTTCACATTGAGAATCTCTGGTTTCTAGATATTCATAGATTCATAATATGGACATTCAAATTCACAGCTTAATTAACCAATAACTTCTAAAAGAGAGACCCTTTACTGCCACCAAAATGCATCTCGATGAATCTCAAAGGACGAAAAAGCATACAGAAGGAAAGATTAGCAAAAATCTAAATGGGTACAAAATAAGAAGGACAAGACACAAAAAGGAGGGCGGAGTTGGTCCAGAGGAGGCCGACGCGTGGCGTCAGAGACTGGAGCGGAACTTCCGGTCGATCAAATGTCCTTTGGAGTACCAAGTGGAGTTGGCAGTTCACTATTTGAGTGGCGATGCACATCTGTGGTGGCGGGCCATTGAGGGTCGGAGGACCGTGTGGACTTGGGGTGAATTACTTGCAGAGTTCAAAGCCAAGTACTTCCCTCGAGAGGCGCGGGATTGATGTACTTGTATTTTGCTTGGTTTTAGTACATCTTTTACTCACCATTAGCATCATATCTTGTTCATTTTCTCTTCTTATGCATACATTGTAGTTCTAGGTTGCATTTGCATACATTTGCATGTTTGATCCTTAATCAGGTCATTATGGAGCATGATGGAGCACTTGGGACGTGAGGAGCAAGGAAGGGCATTGCAAGAGACTCAGCTCGACCGTGCAGCTCAAGATGAAGAAAGGAGCCACCTTTAAGACCAGCTAGACCAACCTGCGCGACCCACCAGTCGAGCTAGGCCAAACTTTCCCAACTTTGCACTAGCTCGACCGGCCAAGACACAACTCGATCGAGCTGTTTTCCAAAGACAAACCCGAAATTTATGCCTTCCCTTTGACTCTCCTTTGACCCTAAACCTAGTTTCTTTTGCTATTTAAAGGCTTGAGCCACGAATTAGAGACAACTTTTGCCTAATTTTGTAATTTGTGTTTCCCTTTTTAGCTTTTAGCCTCTCTTAGTGTTCTTGAACTCATGCTCTTTGAACCTTAGATCTAGGCTTTGTTATTGTGTTTCTGAACTTTGTTATTTCAATAAAAGTTGTTTATCTTTGTCTCCTCTTTCATTTAATGTCTATTTCATTGCATTTCATTGTTTATTTCATCATGTGTAGTGAGTAGATTCCCTTTAGGGTTTAAGATGGGATAGACTAGAGGTTGTTTATGCTTAATCTTTCTTGCTTTATGTTCTTAATCGCAAATCTCTCTCTTTTGGACTAAGCTTAAGGCTGCACAACCACTATCCATGGTGTGTAAGTCTACGCGATTTTTCTCATGGGAATGAATGGGAAATCGCTTGAAGAAGTCCACTAAGAGCTTTAAACATGCTTGCCTCACAAAATGAGGTTTATAGGTGTTAAAAAGGGTGAGTTTGAACAAAGGTTCGAAGGCCTCCAAGGCTTGATCTCACTGGCTAACCCCCTGTTTCTGAGATCTTGCCTTGGCTGATAGCTTTCACCTTAGGATAGGGTTAGCTAGGATTGAGAAGTTCAATACCAAGAGATACTTGAGTACAAGTTGTTAAGGAGCAAGGTTGATTAAGTATAGGCTTCCTTTAGTTGCAAAACCCTGTCTTTGACCCTAATCTCATTTAATAGCTAAAGTTTGCACCTTTATCGTTTTGCATTCGCATTCCTCTGTTTTTAAACTCACTCGACCCTCAACTCGATCAAGCTGATTTACTCTGTTTATACTCGATCGAGCTCTTGGTCGAGCTGCTTTGCATCTGCCAGTTCTTGCTTATTTCTTGCATTTATAGCCTTGTTTACATTGGCATTTACTGTTTCATTTGCATTTCCTTTCATTTTAGATTATTAGTGGTTACTTTTCATCTTTAAAATCATATTGGCTTGACTTTTAAGTATTTGCATATTCTCATAGAGTAACAACTTACCCATTTGGATTAATAACCTCTTATACTACTTTGACTATGATGTTAAAGAGGAATTGATTGACTGTGATTACATCTGTTTACCATACCATCTCATCTTCATTCCAACTTCACTTGCATATCATATTTCATTCCACCTACACAGTAAAAATCCTTTCATCAATTTGGCGCCGTTGCCATTTGGGTTTGATTTTGTTGCATTTGAGTTTCCAATTCACTTGAACGATCAAGTACTACCCCACCTTTGCTGCTTGTACTGCTGGGTTTTTAACTGTTTTGCAGGTGTATGCGAACTCGATCAAGCTCATTTACAAAGGACTTAGTCGAGTTAGACAACAACATAGGCAGAAAACATAGAAAGAAGAGCCATATGCACCAAGTTGGGACAGATGTGTTTGTTACAGATCCTATCGATCATCCAGAGGGTAATAGAATCCCTCCTGCTAATGGGCAGGGTCGAGCTAGGCAAACTCGACCAATTGGACTTGGAGATGCCCCAAAGCACCACCAGCAAAGACAAGGGATTGTCCCACCTCCTGTACAGAACCACAACTTTGAGATCAAGCTGGGTATGATCAATCTAGTGCAGAACAAGATGTTCCATGGGCTCTCAACTGAAGACACAATAGATCACCTTGATGAGTTTGATAGGTTGTGTGATCTGACCAAGTTAAATGGTGTCTCTGAAGATGCCATCAAGCTGAGACTCTTCCCTATGTCTCTAGCTGATAAGGCCCACCAATGGGAGAAGAGCATGCCCCATTGTTCAATCACTACATGGGATGAGTGCAAGAAAGCCTTTCTTGCTAAGTTTTTCTCAACTGGGCGCACAGCCAAGCTAAGAAGTGAGATCTCAGGCTTCACTCAGAGGAACAATGAGACATTTGCTGAAGCTTGGGAAAGGTTCAAGGGTTACACCAGGTTCCATCGCTTCAACAATGAGTCTTTGCTCTCTACACTCTATAGAGGATGTTTGGCTAGATACAGAGAGATGTTGGACACAACCAGTAATGGAAACTTCCTTAATCAAGATGTAGATGATGGCTGGCAGCTTGTGGAGAACATTGCTAACTCAAATGAGAGTTATGGAGAGGAGTATGATCGCACAAACCGGAACTCGACCCACCACTCGATCGAGTCACATGACAAACTGAAAAAGGTCAACTTTGTCTGAGAAGTTGGATAAGCTCAGCCTAGCTCAATCCAAAATGTAAAAGGTCAACTTTGTCTCTGCTGAAGAGATGGTTCCTGTTCAGGAAGGGGAGGATACACAAATTGCTGAAGTTTGCTACATGAGCAATGGACAAGGTGGATACCAGAAGGGTTATTACAAGTATAAGTCCAATCCAGCCATGTCTTACAGGAACACTGATGTTGCAAACCCTCGGGATCAAGTTTACCCTCCACAACAGCAAACTCGATCGAGTCAGCCTCCACAATAAGGGTATGGTCAGAAAAGCAACTTCCACAGCACCCAAGGGACTTTCTCTTGGCAGAAAATGCATATACCACCTGGCTTTTCTCACCAGCCACCTCGACCTGCGGCTAATCAAGAGCCTAAGTTGAGAGCCATGTTGAAACAGCTGCTACAAGGTCAAGCTGATGGTGTTATGGAAACAAGAAAGAAGTTGGCTGATTTAAATTCAAAGATTGAGTCCTTGAACACAAGAGTACATACCCTAGAGAACCACACTTCCTCTGCTGCTGCTAAGCAAGGACAACTACCTGGAAAGCCTGTTCAGAATCCAAAGGAGCATTGTAAAGTAATCTTTACTCGAGAAGAAGAATTTGATCAACAAGCTGCTAATGAGAAAGCCATTGAGGAGATCTGTATGCTGCTTAATGATGAAGACAATGTTGTTGCTGATGCTCCTGAAGTCCAATACTTTCAACATGAAGTGCAAGCTACTCAAATAGCTATTCACACTTCACCAGTTGAGCTCGCACAACAAGTTCGATCCGCAGCTCGATCGAGTCCAACCTCAGCAACTCGATCGAGTCAGACAGTTTCTGTTCCACAACCAGTTTTGCTTGAACCTTACCAGCCAGTTGATCCATCTTCAGGCCGCCTACTTAGTCAAGGTCAAAAGGAAGTGATTCACAAGTTTAGAAGGGATCTCAGTGAGATAGGAGTTGAGCTTCCTAGTATGGGTAGTATGAATGAGGCATTTGAACAAATGAAGCTGATTCAAGATGTTATGGACAACAAAGACAAAGTGTCTAAGCTCCTGGAGCTTTCTACTGCTCAGCACAACCTCCTAACCTCACCTATCTTCTTACCAAAGCTGGAGGATCAAGGAAAGTTCACACTTCCTTATAAACTTGGACATTTGGAGTTTGATGATGCCTTGGTCGATTCTGGTGCTAGTGTCAACTTGATTTCACTTGCAATGGCACAAAAGCTCAGTATTCATGGAGCCTTGCAGCGCTCCAGCTCAACAATCATGTTTGCTGATGCTATTTCTAAGTCACCTCTTGGTGTGTTCAAGAATTACCCTTTAAAGGTGGGAGAATGCCCATTACCAACTGATCTTACTGTCTTGGAAATGGAAGAAGAAAAGGATGTGCCACTGATTTTGGGGACCCCTTTCCTTAGTACAGTAGTGATATACCCATATCTTTCATGTTTTTATCAAGGTTTTCACTATGTTTTTAATACAAATAATGTGGTTTTTATGCCCAAGAGGTAGTTTTCTTGTATATTCTGGTTTTGAGCATCATTCAGGTCAAAATAGCAAAGAAGAGTCAAAATGGAGCAAAAAGAGTCAAATCACCAAGTTCCCAAGTCTAGAGCACCAAATCTACATTTCTCGCTAAAGACCAAACCGGAGCATCCGAAGTACGACCGCATATTCATGCCTTCCCGACGTCCAAAAGTCATGATTCTTATATGGAAAGATAGATATTTGAGTCATGACCCGCGGCGAAGTGGAAAGAGGTCATTTGGATCACTCGTTGGACCGGAACTTATTTTCTACCAAGACATGTCCGACGAGCGCCTAAGTAGAGCCCATGGAGACTTTGATGGATCAAGAGGCCCGAGATACCGCGCCCAAGGCCTTGGCTCATCTTGACACTAGCATAACTCAATCCAGAAGCTTCCATTGGCCTGAACACGGCCCATTCAAGAACTTGGAGAGCAAGCTCAAGCGGCTAAAGAGAAATGGAAACTTTCCTCTTCTGCGCGCGCTCAACTTTGCCGACCTAGACCCGCTCTCTACCTATATATACTTGCTTTTAGCCTCTTGTAATAAGAATCACCAGCCGCATAACAAGAAACACTTATTCAATAAAGTTCGGAGCCACTTAGGTGGTCTCCTTCTTCTTTCTTTTCTTCTTTTGCATTTGTATATAGCTTGCATGTTTCAATTTATATAGTCTAGAAGTAGAGATTTCTCCCTAAGGGTGAGGCGTGGTTTAGTCTATATTCCGCCGCCTCTCTCTCTAAGGATTCATGAGACTTCATCTACTATCTAAGACTCATTGTTGAATTATGGATCCTTCCAATGAGGACGTGATATAATGGCCATCGAATCGATTGTTAAAAGGGGAAACCCTATGGTTCTCCATCTTTATTTATGCTTAATGCTTGTTGCTAGAGTAGCTAACTAGTGACTTGATTTTAGGTTGATATACTCTCCAAAAGCTTGTTATATCTCCGGACACAATATTTGATGGGCAAATCGTTTTAGGCTACGAAAGTAGACCTAAAGAGTTTTGTGAACAATCATTACTTGGATGTAATGCATGTCTCACTCTACAATGACCAACGAAAGCTGAGCCCATTGGTTTAAGAGACATAGGGGATTGGAACCACGAAAGTGGAATAATCCTTCCTTAGTGTTTTGAGTTCAAAAGAATCGGATTTTAACAAACTTTTCAATCGACTTGGCTCATGTTTTCAAAAGAGTTTTCAATAGTTCAATAATGTTGCTTGTATAGAATTGCATTGTTATTTCTTTTGCGTGTTCTAAACAAACACAAACCCTTGCATCTTTTGATTTAGCTTAGTCATTTAAACTCTATGATTATGTAATGTGTGAAATCCAATCCCTTGTGGTTCGACCCCTAAATACTACAATTATATGTTGTGCACTTGCAACACTAGTTGTCTTAGGGAATTATTACTTGTACTCATCCCATAGATGCCGCATCAAGTTTTTGGCGCCGTTGCCGGGGATTGCATCATAAACACTTGCATAGTCTTGTTTAAAACTAAGTCTAGATCTTGGTATTTTCGAATACTAACTTTTTCTTTTAAATCTTGTGTTTATAGGTACTTGGAGATGAATCACAACACCAACATCCACTTTGGGAACCGGACACTGATCCCACACGATCTCCACGGCCGGAGTTACCAAGACCCAGCCGTAAGCATCGTGCCACATCCGTTCCCTCCCAACCGCGCTCATCCGACGTTTGAAGGACCTAGCCGAGACGAGCATCATTACCATCATCATCAAAACCGACCTCCGGTTTATCATCAACCACCTAGACCAGTGTTGCATTCACACCACGACCATGTTCTCAATAGGCGGAGAGATAGCCATTTCGATGCCGTGCTTGAGGGTTTCATGGAGAGCCAAAGAAAACTAGCCGCGACATTGAGACAAAGCTAGAGTTCACGCGATACGAACTAGATGGAAGACTTGGAGAACTCTCTACCCAAATAGAGAGAGTAGAGTCAAGATGCTTGGACATGGAGGAAGATTTGAAGAAGCAAGGCGAGGCCATTGAAGACAATAGGAGAGCGATACACTTTACCAAAGTTTCTACCAAGGAGATGGATAATCACTTAGATGAGAAGATCTCAAGTCTTGATAACAACCTCGATGGCACCACCAAGAGTCTCAATTCAATAACAGCAGTAGCTCATCAAGCTAAGAGGGAGGTAGCCGAAGTGACACTAAAGGAGAGGCAATGTTACTCGACGATGCTTACATTGGTGGAAGGGCAAAAACAAGTGAAGGCACAAATCCGAGATTTACACATCTCTCTAGACAAGAGGAGCCAAGATATTCAAAGAAGAGCTAGAGGGCTTGAAGACAAAGTAGATGGAGTCTCCAAGGAAGTCAAGGATTTAACCACTCGCTTAGCCAACTTGGAAGAGAAGGTCTTGACCGAGACAAAGACGACCGTTCCTAAGCAAAACTATGCCGCGCCCGTCTTTACTATAAGAGAGACCGACCCAAGAGTGATTTGGGATGAAGAAGAAGTAGAGCTGATCAAGAAAGAGCCACGAAGCTAACCACTGGAACAAGAGAGAAGATAGCACCAAAAGGAAGAACCCTTACTCAAAGGTCTTCACAACCGCCTCCCACCAAGGAGAAGAGGAAGACAAGATCATCACTTGAAGAGATCATAGATGATTTCAACTTTATGGCGAGGAGATTCCCTTATGGTGTGCCGTTTGATAATGCTTGCAACAAGAGTCCATTCATGCAAGACCTAGCTTGGACACAAGATTGGAGTCTAGCTGAAATGGAAAAGATGTACGAGGAAGCAAGAAAGGGGATGCCTAAACCTAGGTTTCTACACAAGCTTCATGACCCAGGTTACTTCCTTATACATTTCTCTATCAATGGAAGCTACTTTGATGATGCTCTTTGCGATTCCGGTTCTAGTGTGAACCTTATGCCGGCCGAGATAGCCAAGAAGTTGGGATTGATCAATTCAATTGTGAAATCTCGAATGGATTTAAAGCTAGCTGATTCATCATTGACCGAACCACTTGGAGAGGTTAAAGACATTCAGCTTGATTTTGGAGGCTGCATAGTTCCAGCCAACTTCTATGTAGTAACCATGAAGGATCCGGAGGACTTAAAGCTTTTGCTTGGAAGATCATTCCTAGCCACAGCTGGAGCGATCATGGATTGGCCTAATAGAAGAATCTCTCTAGCCAATGTTGACAAGGACACCTTCTACGATGCTGCACCTCCCGGTTTCTCATCCAAGCGATTTCGCTACACAAGTGGAGGAGAGTGCTCACAAGTAAGAGGAGAGTCGCATGGCTACTTGATCAAGGAAGTTCTACAGGACAAGATGCACTTGGAATCATCAGGCAACAGGAAGTTCTTGGAGCCACCAATCCTACCTAACTAAGAACACAAAGGAGTCGAGCTACAAAGACTTAAAACAAGCGCTTGTGGGAGGCAACCCACATTTTCTTATCCCTTCCTCTTTTTATTTTATTTTTATCTACTTACTTTGTTCTATTTATAACTCTTAAATTTTTGAGAGTTTAATAAATTTTACAAAAAAAAATAAAAAGTGTTTTAGGAAAAAGTACCAAAAAGGAGGCTTACATGAAAATGCATTGGAAAAGCTACATCGCCACGAATCGACCCAAGGATCAACCATCTTTGGTCTAAGTGTCAAGCATTGAGTCTAGTTTGAGTCCCACCCAAGTCCCACCCATGTTTCAAGAAGCAAAGAAGTCCAAGAAGGGCCGCGGCACAACAAAATCCGGCCATTGGAACACTATTGCACAAGGCAAAGGTAAGTACACTTCCATTCTTACTGTCATTTCTTTTAAACACTATTTCTATCAAATTAAACCAATACACACTACTTGGATTTCTGATCAAGATCACAAGTACATATGGTTTCACGATCAAGTCTTTGATTA